TTCTCACTCGTAAGTGGGTGTTGAACAATGAAAACACATGGACACAGGGATGGGAACATCACACACTGAGGTCTGTTGGGGGGTAAGGGGTTAGGGGAGCAATAGCAGGGGGTGGGGAGGTTGGGGAAGGATAACATTAGGAGAAATATCTATTGCGGATGATGGGGGGTTGGAGGAAGCAAACCACCAGGGCATGTGTATACCTATGTAACAATCCTGCAAGATCTGCCCAAGTACCCCAGAACTTAAAGTATAATAATAATAATAATAATAATTAAAAAACCACAATGTTCCGTAGGAAAGTTCACTTCTAAACAAGTCACAATAATGAACATCAGGATTCACGTTAACTCCCAAATCATGGGCTGCTCCTCACCTGCTCTGGATTCAGTTCCAATACTGCCCCTGCCTCCTGTCAGAGTTGTAGCCTCTGTGAGAAAAAGAAAATCAAGAGGTCTAAGGGATTGAAGATCCTGGGAAAAAGCTATTCTATGATTGCAGCTCTAAAGCTTTATCAGGCAATCAAGATGAAGATTTCCTTCTTATTGAACTACCTGTGTGGGAATCTCCATATGTACTGGTTGTTCCTGGGAATTCACCAGAAGTACCTAAAATGAGAAGAGTAAAAGTGCTAATAGAGCAAAGAATGCTAAAAGAAGTGATATGATCCTGAACCTCTAGAGACCTTTCCTGAGGACATCTGTTTTGGAAGGAAATGAACCGTGAGTGATTACCACTTTATTTCTTTGGCCCTCAATTGAACGTTGTTGCTTCTGGGATTCCCTTTCCATAGACCACAGTGAATGTGAAAGGAAACCTTATCTCCCCGTCACCTGTTTAACTTCCAGATGGGCTCCCTGATGTGATGTGTTGAGAAGAAAAAAGCAGACTACCTTCCATCTTTATAAATATTCCTCATCAATTATTTGAGGTATTTTGATATTCACATGTTTAAAAAAGAACTCCCTAACTCTAATATTCCCATGTGATGACTTTTTTCGATCTATTCTACCTGGCTTGGAATTCTGACTTCAGGTGAAACTGTAGTTGTACCTATTAAATAGAATGAAGAGCTTCAAAATAATTATTTCATCATTCCGCTAATATTTATTAAGCATCTCTTCTGTGTAATATTGTTTTAGGACCTTGGGATGTATCAGTGAGCAGAATGTTGAAAGATCTCTCTCCTAAGGCACCTTACAGTCTAGCAGCTGGAGCCCAGCAATGAACAATAAATGTAATAAATAAGTCAGTGTGAAGGATGTGAGTCAGTGCTTTGGGAAAAAGGCAAGTTGTATAAAAGGATCAGGAACGCTGATTGGCAGGGGGTATCCAGCAGCTTTCCCTCATCCGTGCTACATAACAACTAGCTCTGCCAGCCTAGGCACCTAAAAAACCAGAGGGATGAGTCAGGTGAGGCCAAAGAATTCCTAGGCACACCCAGGTTTGTGGTCCTGGCATGCTGTGTTCCCAGATGAAATGAGGGTCCCATTCCTTGGCCCACCTTCACATCAATGTCTTCACTGCAGAGAACTAGGATTTGATAAAAGCCTTCCAAGGCCTTGGAGTAAAAAGCTCACCTCCTGGATGTTCTGCTTGGCTGGTGACACTCCCTACTATGGAAGTTGTGGCCCCTGAGAGAGAGAGAAAAGAAAGGAAGGAATAAAGACTAGTTTATGAGAGAGTACACACTGTGCTGTGGGCTATGTCAACCAAGGTGCCCATGTCCAGACTTTGCGTGTATTTTCAGACTTGCCTGTCTTGTAACTTCCAGGTTTCAGTGTTTTTCCAGAGACTACAACGGTAATACCTACAATAAGAAAGATGGTGTCACTAGCTGAACTCTTTTTCCACTTGGTTTCTATAGGAATCTCCAATTCTCACTCAGAAGCAAACTATTACTCTGAGACTCGCAGTGCTAGAAGTAGTTCATATTTGTCCCATGCAACCTTTCTCTCCACAGCAATATTACTGAGACAGTTCTTAACTATTATGTCCTTCTCTTTGGGGGGAAGAGAAGAATTTTCTCCCATATTATTTATCTGTCATTGGTTTGACGTCACAATGGTTTAGGGAAGGCCTTTCTAAGCTCAGGAAATAAGGAGACTGTCTAGCCTTTTCCTCTGAATTTTCTCCATATAGTGTATATAAATCATGTCGATATTTTCAGAAGACTATTTGAAGTTGTCATTAGGAATTACAGGTCTTAGCCTAGCATCACTCACCTGTGGCTCTTCCAACACGTGTTGTTTCACTTACTCCTAGGAAAGTGGTGGCCTCTAAGGGAGACAAAGAGTAAGAGTTACCGGAGAATATTTAAGAATTGTGGAGAAGATATGGTGCTACTCCTGCAGAAAATTAATACGAAGGAGGCCAGGCACAAGGACTCAGGCCTATAATCCCAGCACTTTGGGAGGCCAAGGCAGGCAAATCACAAGGTCAAGAGTTTGAGACTAGCCTGGTCAACATGGTGAAACCCCATCTCTCCTAAAAATAGAAAAAATTAGCTGGGTGTAGTGATGGGCACCTGTAATCCCAGCTACTCGAGAGGCTGAAGCAGGAGAATCACTTGAACACAGGAAGAGGAGGTTACAGTGAGCTGAGATCCTGCCACTGCACTCCAGCCTGAGTAACAGAGCGAGAGTCCATCTCAATAATTAAATAAAGAATACACAGGAGACCTCTAATTATGGGAGGGCACGTGGAAGATTTCATGTCAACCTGTTGACTTACCTGTCTTGGAACTGCCAGGGGCAACGGTTGTGCCAGGAGCTACCCCAGTGGTGGCTGAAACACAGGGGAGCTGGCATCACCACAGTGATTCTCGTTTGTCTACTGAAGGCCTGACTCTAGAAACAATCTGCTTACATCTTTAAGATGTCAAAGGCCACTTTGTCTGGCTGCCACTCTGATGTGTTTTTCCATTAATTAATAAACTACCAAAGCAATCAAAGGGGCCAAACCTGGGGATTACACCTGGCCTGCCAACAGAGCGAGACAGGTGGTTTTCTCCCATACTTAACTGTTTCACTGTCAGAGGTAGAAGACAAAAATTCATTTATTTCATTACCATTTAATCCATTTTTACTTTTCTTTTTAAATTTCATATAAAAATTGTACATATTTCTGGGTTGTATGGGAGGTTTTGATATATGTATATACTGTATAATAATGAAGTCATGATATTTAGCTTATCCATCATCTCAAACACTTATCATTGCTTGGTGGGCAGAATATTCAGAATCTTCTTGTCAAGGACATTTGAATATAAACCATAACATTGTTTACCATAGGTACCTCACTGCTACGAAACACCAAAACTAATTACTCCTATGTGATTTTGCCCCATTGACCTAATATTAATTATTTCTCTTGCCTTGGGGGCAAGGAAACATCTATGCAGGTGTGTTTTTAAAGTGCATTTATAATATCTCTACTTCCTGGGACCAAAACTGTTTTTAACTTCCATAGCACTGGAAATATTTATATGTAATTTTATAGGGAAATCCCTCAAAACAATTACGTTCCATTTACACCTCATCTAGAAAGTCAATCTATTAGAAAAGAGGATTTTAGGAGATTTATAGGGAAATAATAAGTTAAAAAATATATCTGGCCTCTAATACATTGTCTGTAAATCCTTATTTAATATTCTGCAGGAAGGCCTACTTCTAAGCAAGTCATCCTAATGAGAGTCATGATTCACAGTAACTCCCAAATTATGGGTTGCTCTTCCTCACCTGTTCTGAATTCACTTTCAGTACTGCCCCTGCCTCCTCTGATAGTTGTTGCTTCTGGGGAAAGAAAGAGGAAAATCATGAGATCTAGGGAATGTGAGATATGAAAAAACAATATTGAGGCACTATTTTATGATTGCAGCTCTACAGAGGTATCATGCACGCAAAAGGAATATTTCCTTCTCACTGAACTACCTGTGTGGGAACCTCCAGATGCAATGGTTGTCTGAGAGAATTTACCAGAAGTACCTAAAACAAGAATGTAAAGACCTAACAGAGCAAGCAGTACTGGAATCAGCACTGTGGTCCTGAACCACTGGAAGACTTTTCTTGACAACTTCTGTTTTAGAAAAAATACACACCACAAATCATTTTTTTTTTTTGCCAGGTTGTTGTTTAATGTTTGCATACTGACTATTCCCTCCACTGTACCATAGCAAAAAAGCAAAGAAGGACGCTTAATTTCACTTTACTGATTTCACTTACAGTGATTCCCTGCCAGTTCCAGTGGCTCCCTGCCACTCCGGAGGAGAAAAGAAGAAAAAGCTTTGATATTTCCAACATTCTTATTTGTGTAACTGGTGATAGTGTGACAATCAGGTTTTAAGAATACACTCAAGTCAGATGTTTTTACATTTCCCTGGTGTTTTAAGAAGCCTACCCCAACTGCTTTCAGACCTGATAAACTGCTGCCGACACCAAGTAAAACCATGAAGTAAACAGTGACACTCTACATAAGAATATGCCTGTCATTCATCTCCTATTTTGTAAGCCTTTCCTCTGTGTCTGACATCCTCTCAGTGAAAAGAACAGATGAAGTATCTGCCTTGTGAGATTTGTGTTTGTGAGAGAAGAAATAGAAAATAAACAAGAAGTCTAATAAACATATTCAAGAGATGGCAGCAGGTGATAGTAATTTGCAGAATCATGAGCTGAGTGAGGAGAATCATGGTTCCAGGAAAACTGATGCAGGTCAGTAGGCCTCAGTCAGGTGTCCAGAGAACTAACACTGTCACACAAGCCATGGAGCAATGCCTGACTTAGATGACCCCGTTTCTGAAATTCCTTAGCAGGACTACTCAGGATGGTCAGAATACATGTTGTGCTTCCAGACAAGAAGTAACTTCATTTCCATGGCCCTGTTTCTCATTTATATGTTACCCTGAATACAAAATGACAATGATGAGAATTCTGAAGCCTTGGATTGATGAAGCTTACCTCCTGGAGCTTCTGATTTGGTGGCCCGGACCCCTCCTGTGGAACTTGTGGCCTCTGAGAGAAAAGAAAGCAAAGATGAAGTCTGCAGGATGGGGAGTACAGGGTTACTAGGAGCCTGTCACCTGAGCAGCCATGGTGTAGCATTTCTGTGTGCTTTTGGACTTGCCTGTATTGTCATTCCAAGGTTCCAGAGTCTTTCCAGAGAATGCCCCAGTGGCAGCTATTAAGAAAGGGATGGGGCAGTCATGGGTCAGTATCTCATTACCATGAAGTGGGCAAAGAGTATCAAGCAAATCAATGGACACAGTCTGTATACTTATTTATTATTTCATTAAACTGGCCTTTAAATGGCAAAAGCTAATCTCTACAGTTCTCAGATAATATTCTTCCCGTGGTATATTTACTCCCCCACCACCCTTTTTTTTTTTTTTTTTACTTATTAGGTTTCCTTTTCTCAACATTTCAGGAATAGGGAGATAGAAGATAACTCTGTAGATCTGCTATGTAACTGTCAGTCAAATGACTTCACGATTACCTTGGGGGCCATGAGAAGAGTCCATTCAAGCACAAGAAATAAGAATGAAATTTGAGATTCTGTATTTAGTCAGTGAAAAAAGGTAGGAACTTTCCTAACAATGTTAATATGGGAGAAATGAGAGTATGGATCCTTTTCAAGCCACAGGTTTTATTGGATATTATTAGCAAGTGAGTGCAATGACCCAGCAATGCTCACCTGTCACTATTCCGCCTCTTGTTAACGCACTTCCTTCTATGGAAGTTGTGGCCTCTGAGAGACAGAAAAACAGAAGAGACATATTTGAAAAATATTCAATCACCATGAAATGAATAAGATATTACTCTTAAAAGCATCAAAGGAGACATCAAATTATGAGAAGAGTTCTGAAGCGTTCCCTGCCAACCTGCAGACTCACCTGTACTGGAACTGCCACGGGCAAGGGTTGTGCTGGGAGCCACCCCAGTTATGGCTGAAACACCAAGAGCACTAGGATCACCATGGTGATTAATCTTTCTTTCCTACAGACCTGCCTCTAGAAAGAATCTAAACCTAACTTACATCTAACTAGCACTTTCCCTAGCTCTTCCTTAGTGATAAGCCCTATGTCTTTTCTCATTAACCATTTTATTACCAAAGCAACCAAAGTGACAATGTTCTCCACCTGTGATAACCTTCCTGGTATTCTCAGTCAGGAGGACAATGTGGGTTTCTCCTAAGCTCACCTGTTTTCCTCCCTGTGTCTTGGCTGTCAGATGCAAGAGCGGTGCCTGCTGTGGGGTGGTTACTGAGAATGCCCCGAGTGTGCTGAGAACTCCAGACATTGTGAAAATAGTTTGCCCTCCACTTGTGAAAAGGAAGCATTGACAGGGGGCAGGTGTGTTTCCTGGGTTCTTACAGCTCCTCTGTGTTTCTCAGCAAGTTTTATCAACTCCCCTACCTTTTAAAAGCTTATAACGGTTTGTAATTTCACAGCATTCTATAATTAGTAGCTTTTCTGGAAAAATTTCTACACTGATAAAGAATTTGTTGGCCAAAAATGTAGTATTAGGAAAGTAAATACAAATTGCTTTCCAGAAACTTCATCTCTCTAGTCTCGCTATGAGTGTCATAATCAGTGATAGCAACAAAGACATAAGTTGCTCCTTCTCACCTATTTTGAATGAAGCTTCAGTGGTGCCAACACGTTCTGTGGAAATTGTGGCCTCTGAGACACGATATGGAATAGTGAATTCTGGGGCATTGGGATAGTGGGAAGAGAGATTTTGTGTTATTCATCAGAAAAACTCTGCAAAATAACATCATTTCATCTGCATGTCAATAGAGATGGTTTTCTTTCAATCTTACCTGTGTTGGAAATTCCTGTTTCAACAGATGTCTCAGAACCTACTCCAGTGATACCTGAAACAAGAAAAGCAAATTTAGCAAATTCATCATGGAAGCAACTAAAAGGGCCTTTCTGAGGACTTAATGTTATAAATGGTGTAAACGCTAAATTAGGAGTTTCCTTCTCTCATTTCATCTCCTTGGCCCATTTCTTCCCAGGTAACTTACAAGTGAACACACCTACACGCTAGCCTGCTGACAGAGGGATTGGGGCTCATTTCACACCTGCCTGTTTCACTTCCTGTTATGCCTCCCTGGTGTACCAGGGGGGACTACAGAGGAGGAAAATGAAAGAGAAAGTTCTAAATGTCTCTGTGATACTTTATTTTATGTCATTTTATGACTTTATTTTATGTCATCCTTAAAGCACACCCATGCACACACATGCACAAAACTCATATGGGGTAAGAGCCAGCTTATATTTTCTTTATGGAATTTTACCTGTGTTGGAAACTTCTGAACTGGTACTGACTTCAGAATAAATGACAGTGGTGCCTGTGAAAACAAATTGTGTGAACTTTAAAGCAGTGATGGTCTCATTCCTGTCTTCAGAGAACTAATTCTGGGAGCCAGGACTCAGGCACACTTGTTGGAGGGGCATGAACACGGCATTTCCACAGGGATTCACAATTTGACTTGGTCTTGTGTAAAATGTGTCTTCTACCTTCATATTCTTATGTTTTTAGCTGCAATCCCAAACAATAAATCAACAGAACCCAAAGTCTTGGAATGATAGCACTCACCTCCTGACAGTCCTGCTCTAGGAGTCCCTGTAGCATTTGTGGTCTCTGAGAAAGAAAAGAAATGAATGAATTAAGAACATGCTGGATGGTTGGGTGTGGTGGCTCACACCTATAATTCCAGCACTTTGTGAGTCCAAGGCTGGCAGATCACTTGAGTACAGCAGTTCGAGACCAGACTGGGTAACATAGTGAAACCCCGTCTCTATAAAAAAAAAAAATAGCCTGTAGTCCCAGCTACCTGGGAGGCTGAGGTGGCAGGATCACCTGAGCCTAGGAGGTCAAGGCTGCAGTGAGCCAAGATCATGGTCCTATATTCCAGCCTGGGCAACAGGGTGAGAAAGAGGAAAGAAAGAAAAGGAAGGAAGGAAGAGAGAAAGAAAGAAAGAGAGAGAGAGGGAGAGAGAGAAAGGAGAGGAAGGAAGGAAGGAAGGAATGAATTATGAGAAAGAAAAAGAGAAATAGAGAAAGAAAGAGAAAGAAGAAAGAGAGAAAGAGAAAAAGAAGAGAGAAAGAAGAAAAGAAAGAGAAAAGAGAGAGAAAGAGATAAAGAAGAGAAAGAAGGAAAGAGAAAGAAAGAAGAAAAAGAGATAAAGAAAATGAAAGAAAGAGTAAGAAAGAAATGAGAAAGAAAGAAGAAAAAGAAAAAGAAAGAGTAAGAGAGAGAAAGAAAGAAAGAAGAAAGAAAGAAAAGAAAAGAAAAGAAAAGAAAAGAAAAGAAAAGAAAAGAAAAGAAAAGAAAAAGAAAAGAGCAAAGCATGCTGGGTCTGCGGCATTACCTAAGTGGCTCCCTCCAGGATGTCCTGCTATGTGGTGACTTACCTAAGACAAAACTTCCAGGTTTGGGAGTTTTCCCCAAAATATCACCAGAAGTTCCTGAAATAAAGAAAGGTGGTCAACATGCCATGACTAGGGAATTGCTTTTTTAAAAATTTGTATTTCTTATAATATATTAGGATGTTCTTTCTTTGAGCTTTCTAATGTCAAGAATTAATCTGTGTTTCCAGTGTAGCATCTGTCTTACAGCAAATTTCCTGACAATATTCTAGACTCTTTTGTCTTTCAAAAAAGATTCAGTGCTGGGAAATGGAAGTTTTCTCAGTATAAATTTATCCCGTGGCCAGTGACTTGACTTCTTAGTGCACTGAATGGGCTCCTTAAGGTAGAAGGAAGTCTTAGGTTCCTGAAGCTTGTCATTTGTTAGCTAGGAAATGTTTGGCATTTTTTAAAAGGTTTCATTTAGGAAATAAAGCAGTGTGGCTACATTTTAGGCAACACTGCCTAATGAAAGATGCTTTGAATGCATTAATTCACTTTTTGATCATTAAGCACTTTGATTAAAACTGCAGGCTGAGCTGGAGCTATTCCACCTGCAGCAATTCCACTTCCTCCTAGGAAGTTGTGGCCTCTGAGGATGAAGAAAAGAAGAAAGACACAATTGGGAAGACATTAAGGATTATGGATTACTGTAGTGATAATCTTGCCTATAAATAAAACCTGAGGAAATAGCTCTTAAAAGAAGTCCCCATGGGAAAATTCCACTCAGCTTGTTCTCACCTGTGTTGGAACTTCTAGGGGCAAGAGTTGTGCCAGTGGTTACGCTAATGGTACCTGAAACACAGAAAGTCCAGAAGTCACCATGTTGACTCATTCTGCCATGAGAAGATCTGAATCTAAATGACATCTGTGTGTTCCTTTGCTATAACAAGTAGCCTTTTCTGGGCACTTAACAGATCTATAATTCTATGAGTTTCTCTGCTTGGCCTATTCCATTTGTAAATCCATTTGTGCCTTCCCTGACAAAGATGAAAGATGATCTTCTCGTGTGTTCACCTAGTTTGATCTCAGCATGCCTTAGCTCTCTGCTACAAAAAACAGTTCATATATACTGAGAACCTGAGACCATGAGAAACTGCTGAGCATTACTCCTCAGTGAGGTCAAGGAAGGCTTTCTGGAAAAGGCAGCATCTAGATCTTTATCATTACTTAGGATTTGTCTATGTGAAGTCCAGGAAGGACACATCAGGCAGAAGACATAGTGAGGGCCAAGGTTTAGGAAAACATAGCAACATGTGTTACATAAACACAGAATGAGTGAAAAATAACTGGAAATTTAGCTTGAATGAAGTGAGAAAATAACTTTCTAGTGATCAGTTTGTAAAATTGTATAAAGTAACTTCTAACAGTGCCAACAACTAATTTAAGTGAGTCTAAAATTTATTATGTGAAGGGAGCTAATGAGAAGTTTAGAAAATAGATGGGGTCTCCAAGGACTCAAACATTACACTGAAGCATTTAGAATTTATTTGAAGGGCAATGGGTATTTGCTAACATGGACTGATGACAGAAATGACATGAACAGAGATAACAGCTATTAGAGGAGGACCACTGACCGTCGCTTCAGATAGAACGCGTCTGAGAATAGAGAAAACTGGAAGAGAGGAAATTTGCCTACAATGGTCTAAAGGAAATGTACAGGAGTAGAAAGAGCTCAGGTATTGGAATCAGAAGAGTTGTGTGGTTAACAGGTTAAACATCTCAGAACCTCAGCTTCATTACCAGCAAATTAGGGAAAATAATACCTACATTATTATAAAGAAAAAAGAAATGAAAAAAAAGAAAACCTTACGTTGAGCTACAGTTGGGACTAAATTCTTTCCACCTCACTTGCCTGATTTTCCAGGTGTAGTTAATCTGGTCCTGCTTTCACCTGCTCCAGGGGTGGTTCCATATGGTTCTTCAGTTTTTCCTGGTTAGAGCAATAATTGATTATCAGCTTTACATGGTACATCTTAGTAAATATAATGAACTTACTGCCCCTTATGTAAAATTTGAATTTAGACATTGACAAATCTAGGTTATCTCTCAATCATTTTTCCTGAATTTAGGAATTTAGGTCCTTGGTTAAATCATAATTGACTCATCTTAGGATCATAATTGGGGGTCTCAGTCACGCTTATGTTGGACCACACCAGAGCACCCAAGGTGAGCTGTGCCTGCTGGGTTCCCAGCTGTAGTGGCTGCAGAATCCCCATGAAAACATGAACTCAAAATGTCTAAGGAATCAATAAGATTCTGGAAAGTCCCCATTATTGTTCAACAATTTGAATTCTTAATAACATATTTAATTGTGATAAATTTACACAGATTTAAGTCTGGAAGACCAAAAATCATATCGTTCACGTTAAATGATATATCTTTAGCTAACTAGACTTGCCTTCATGGGCTGTAACTTTAGTTCCTGGCTCTCCAGTAGTTCCTGTCCCAGTGGTTGTGCCAGCTGATGGTCCAGTTGTAACCGATCTTACAGCTGATGGTCCAGTTGTCCCTGTCAGTCCAGCTGATAGCCCATTTGTAACTGTTATTCCAGCTGATGGTCTAGTTGTCCTTGATTCTTCAACTGATGTTCTGGTTGTTCCTGTTTTTTCAGCTGATATGCTTGTCCCAGGTCTTGCAGATGATCCAGTTGTCCCTATCACCCCAGCTGATATCCCAGTTGTCCCTGTCATTTCAGTTGATGGTCCAGTAGTCCCTGTCACTCCAACTGAGAGTCTAATTTTCCCTGTCACTTCAGCTGACAGTTCAGGTGTCCCTGTCACTCTAGCTGATAATCCAGTTGTTCCTGTCACTCCAGCTGACAGTCCAGTTGTCCCTGTCATCCCAGCTGATTCAATTGTACCTGTCACCCCAGCTGATAGTCCACTTGTCCCTGTCACTGCAGCTGACAGTCCAGGTGTCACTGTCACCCCAGTTGGTGATCCAATTGTCCCTGTCACCCCAGCTGGTAGCCCAGTTGTCCCTGTCACCCCAGCTGATAGTTCATTTGTCCCTGTCACCCCAGCTGGTAACCCAGATGTCCATGTCACTCCAAGAGATGATCCAATTATCCCTGTCACCCCAGCTGATGATCCAGTAGTCGTTGTCACCCCTGCTGATAGTCTATTTGTCCCCATCACCCCAGCTGATAGTCCAGTGGTCCCTGTTGCTCCAGCTGATGGTCCAGTTGTCCCTGTCACTCCAGCTGACAGTCCATTTGTACCTGTTATTTCAGCTGATGGTCCAGTTGTCTGTGATTCTTCAACTGATGTTCTGGTTGTTCCTGTTTTTCCAGCCGATGGTAGACTTGTCCCTGATCTTGCAGATGACCCAGTTGTCCCTGTCACTCCAGCTGATAGTCCAGTTGTCCCTGATGCTTCAACTGACAGTCCAGTTGTCCTTGTCACTCCACCTGATGATCCAGTTGTGCCTGTTACCCAAGCTGATGACCCAGTTGTCCCTGTCACCCCAGCTGATAGTCCAGTTGTCCCTGTCACTCCAGCTGAGGGTCCAGTTATCCCTGTCCCCCCAGCTGATGGTCTACTTGTCCCTGTCACCTGAGCTGGTGATCCAATTGTCCCTGTCACTCCAGCTGATAGTCCACTTGTCCCTGTCAGTCCAGTTGTCCCTGTCACTTCAGCTAGTGATCCAATTGACTCTGTCACCACAGCTGAGAGTCCACTAGTCCCTGTCACTCCAGCTGGTGATCCAATTGTCCCTGTCACCCCAGCTGATAGTCCACTTGTCCCTGTCAGTCCAGCTGTCCTTGTCGCTTCAGCTGACAATCCAATTGTCCTCGTCACTCCAGCTGACATTCCACTTGTCTCTGTCACTCCAGCTGATAGTCTTCTTGTCCCTGTCACCCCAGCTGACAGTCCAGTTGTCCCTGTCACTCCAGGTAATAGTCCACTTGTCCCTGTCACTCCAGCTGACAGTCCACTTGTCCCTGTTGCTTCAGCTGGTGATCTAACTGTCCCTGTCACCCCAGCTGATAGCCCAGTTGTTCCTGTCACTCCTAGTCCATTTGTCCCTGTCACTCCAGCTGATAGTCCAGTTGTCCCTGTTGCTTCAGCTGGTGATCCAATTGTCCCTGTCACCCCAGCTGATGATCTAGTTATCCCTGTCACTCCAGCTGATAATCCACTTGTTCCTGTCACTCCAGACAGTCCAGTTGTCCCTGTCACTCCAGCTGACAGTCCAGTTGTCCCTGTCACCCCAGCTGACAGTCCACTTGTCCCTGTCACCCCAGCTGATGATGCAATTGTCCCTGTCACCCCAGATGGTAGTCCACTTGTCCCTGTCACTCCAGCTAATAGTCCACTCGTCTCTGTTACACCAGCTGATTGTCCACCTGTCCCTGTTGCTTCAGCTGGTGATCCAATTATCCCTGTCACCTCACCTGATAGCCCAGTTGTCCCTATCACTCCAGCTGAGAGTCCACTTGTCCCTGTCACTCCAGCTGATAGGCCAGTTGTCCCTGTTGCTTCAGCTGGTGATCCAATTGTCCCTGTCACCTCACCTGATAGCCCAGTTGTCCCTGTCACTCCTAGTCCACTTGTCCCTCTCACTCCAGCTGATAGTGCAGTTGTCCCTGTTGCTTCAGCTGGTGATCCAAATGTCACTGTCACCCCAGTTGATGATCCAGTTGTCCCTGTCACCCCAGCTGATAGTCCACTTGTTCCTGTCACTCCAGCTGACAGTCCACTTGCCCCTGTCACTCCAGCTGATAGGCCAGTCATCCCTGTCACTTCAGCTGTTGAACCAATTGTCCCTGTCACCCCAGCTGACCCAGTTGTCCATGTCACCCCAGCTGACAGTCCACTTGTCCCTATCACCCCAGCTGATAGTCCACTTGTCCCTGTCACTCCAGCTGACAGTCCACTTGTCCCTGTCACTCCAGCTGATAATCCACTTGTCCCTGTCACTCCAGCTGAGATTCCACTTGTCCCTGTCACTCCAGCTGATAGTCTGATTGTCCCTGTCGCTTCAGCTGGTGATCCACTTGTCCCTGACACCCCAGCTGATAGCCCAGTTGTCCCTGTCACTCCAGCTGAGAGTCCACTTGTCCCTGTTACTCCAGCTGACAGTCCACTTGTCCCTGTCACTCCAGCTGATAGTCCAGTTGTCCTTGTTGCTTCAGCTGGTGATCCAATTGTCCCTGTCACCCCCGATAGCCCAGTTGTCCCTGTCACTCCAGCTGATGGTCCACTTGCCCCTGTCACTCCAGCTGAAAGTAAATTTGTCCCTGTCACTCCAGCTGACAGTACATTTGTCCCTGTCACTCCAGCTGACAGTTCACTTGTCCCTGTCACTCCAGCTGACAGTCCAGTTGTCCCTGATGACCCAATTGTCCCTGTCACTCTAGCTGATAGCCCAGTTGTCCCTGTCACTCCAGCTGAGAGTCTATTTGTCCCTGTCACTCCAGTTGATAGTCCAGTTGTCCCTGTTGCTTCAGCTGGTGATGCAATTGTCCCTGTCGCCCCAGCTGATAGCCCAGTTGTCCCTGTCACCCCAGCTAACAGTCCACTTGTCCCTGTCACTCCAGCTGATAGTGCACTTGTCCCTGTTACTCCAGCTGATAAGCCAGTTTTTCCTGTTACTCCAGCTAGTGATCCAATTGTTCCTGTCACCCCAGTTGATAGTTGAAATAGTCCTGTCACTTCAGTTGATGAACCAGCAGTCCCTATCACCCCAGCTGATGGTCTAGTTGTCCCTGTCAAGCCAACTGTTGATCCAGTTGTCCCTGTCATTTCAGCTGACAGTCCAGGTGTTTCTGTCACTTCAGCTGATGGTCCAGTTGTCCCTCTCACTCCAGCTGATGGTCCAGTTGTCCCCGTCACTTCAGCTGATAGTCCATTTGTACCTGTTAGTCCAGCTGATGGTCCAGTTGTCCCTGATTCTTCAAGTGATGTTCTAGTTGTTTCTGTTTTTCCAGCCGATGGTATACTTGTCCCTGATCTTGCAGATGATCCAGTTGTCCCTGTCACTCCAGCTGATAGTCCAGTTGTCCCTGTTGCTGACAGTCCAGTTGTCCCTGTCACTCCAACTGGTGATCCAGTTATTCTTGTCACCCCAGCTGATGATCCAGTTGTCCCTGTCACTCCAGCTGATAGTCCAGTTGTCCCTGTCACTTTAGCTAAGGGTCCAGTTGTCCCTCTCACTCCAGATGGCAGTCCATTTGTACCTGTCTCCCCAGCTGTTGGTCCAGTAGTCCCTGATCTTACATCTGATGGTTCAGTTGTCCCTGATTCTTTAACTAATGATCCAGTTGTTTCTGTTTCTCCAGATGATGTTCTAGTTGTTTGTGATGATCTAAGAGATTGTACAGTTGTCCCTGATACTGCAGCTGATGATCCAGTTGTCTGAGTCACTGCAGGTAATTTTCCAGGTGTCACTGTTACTTCTGCTGATGGACCAGAGGTTTCTGTCAATTCAGAAACTGTCTCTGTTGTCACTGATCCTGCAGCTGATTGTCCAGTTGTCTCTGTTCCTCCAACTGATGAACTAGTTGTACCCAGTCCTACAGATGAAGTTCCAGCTGTCCATGATCCTATAACTAGTGGTCTGGTTGTTCCTGATCCAGTAACAGACGGTCCAGTTGTCCCTGTAGCTTCAGCTGATAATCCAGTTGTTACTGATCCTACAAGAGATTTTCTAGTTGTCAATGAGCCTTCAACAAAAAGCCCTGTTGTTATTACCACTCCAGCTGATTGTGCAGATGGTCCTGTGGTCCCTGATATTTCAGGTGATTGTCCAGTGGTCCCTGTTCCTCCAACTGATGATGTAGTTGTACTTAATCCTCCAGATGAAGTTTTTGCAGTTGTCTTTACTCCTGTAACAGATGATCCAGTTGTCCCTGATCCTACCACAGATGGTTTAGTGGATCCTGTCACTCCAGCCAATAGTTCAGTTGCTCCCGTCACTCTATGTGAGTCTCCAGATGTAACTGTCACTCTAGCTGATGGTGTAGTTGTCTTTCCTTCTACAATATGTGGTTCAGTTGTTCCCAATCCATCAGCTGATGGTTCAGTAGTCTCTAAACGTACAGCAGATGGTCTAGTGGTCCCTAATCCTTTACTTGCTGGTCCTGTGGTTCCTGTCACTCCAGCTGATGGTCTGGTTAACCCAGTCATTCTAGCTGATTGTCCAGATGTCACTATCAATCCAACTGATGGTCCAGTTGTCTCTGCTTTTACAACAGGAGGGCCAGTTGTTCCTGATCCTACAACTGAAGGTCTAGCTGTCTCTAGTCCTACAGTAGATGATCCAGTTGTTACTAATCCTTCAACAAATAAGCCTGTTGTTAGTGCCAGTCCAGCTGATTGTGCATATGTCCCAGCCATTCCAGCTGATTGTCCAGATGTTGTCAACCCAGCAAATGATTCTGTTGAGCTTACAGCTGATTGCCCAGTTGTCTCTGTTTCTCCATCTGATAATCTTGTTGTACCTGATCCTCCAGCTAAAGTTCCAGTTGTCCTTGTTCCTACAACAGATGGTCCAGTTGTCCCTGATTTGACAAAAGATGGTGTCATTGTTGCTGTCACTACAGCTGGTACTCCAGTTGCCCCAGTATTTCTAGCTGTTTGTCCAGATGTCACTGTCACTCCAGCTGATAGTCTAGTTGTTCCTGATCCTTCATGTGATGGTCCAGTTGTTGCTGATTTTATTGAGGATGACTCAGTTGTCCCTGATCCTCCTGATGATGGCCTTGTCCCTGTCACCCCAGCTGATGATTCAGTTGTACCTGATTCACCAGGTAATGGTCTAGTTTCTCCTGATCCCACAACAGATGATACAGTTGCCCCTGATCCTTCAGTTGATGGTCCAGTTGTTTCTGTCACTCCAGCTGATGCTCCAACTGTCCCAGTCACTCTGGCTGATTGTCCAGACGTCACTGTCACTCTACCTGATAGTCTAGTGGTCTCTGATTCTAAAACAGGTGGTCTAGTTGTAGTGAATCCTTCAACAAATGATCCTGTTGTCACTGCAACTCCAGCTGATTTTTCAGATGTCATTGTTACTCCAGCTGATTTTAGAGATATCCCAGTCACTCCAACCAATTGTCCAGATGTTCCCATCAATCCAGAAAGTGATACAGTTGTTTCCAATCTTGTAATTGACTGTCTGGTTGTCCCTGTTTCTCCATGTGATGATCTTATTGTACTTGAACCTCCAGATAAAGTTCCAGTTGTCCCTGATCCTATAACTAATGATCTAGTTGTTTCTGATCCAATAACAAATGGTACAGTTGAAACTAATCCTTCAGTTGATGGTCCGGTTGTTCTTGTCTCTCCGGCTGATGGTCCATTTGTCCCAGTCACTCTGGCTGATTGTCCAGATGTTACTGTAACTCCAGCTGATGATTCAGTTGTCTCTGATTTTAAAAGAGATTGTCCAGGTGTAGCTGATCCTTCAACCAATAGTCCTGTTGTCATTGCCACTCCAGGGGATTTTTCAGATGTTATTCTCACTCCAGATGAATTTGAAGATTTCCCAGTCACTATAGTTGATTGTCCAGATTTTCCTGTCAATGCAAAAAGTGGTCCGGTTGTTTCTAGCCTTGCAGTTGATTGTTCAGTTGTCCCTGTTCCTCCACCTGATGACCTTGTTGTACCTGAACCTCCAGATGAAGTTCCAGTTGCTCGTGATCCTATAACTGATGGTCTAGTTGTTTCTGATCCAATGACAAACCGTCCGGTTGCCTCTGATCCTTCTGTTGATGGTATAGTTTTCTCTGTTATTTCAACTAGTGGTCTACTTGTACCTGATCCTGTAGCTGATGATTCATTTCTTCCTGATAATTCAGCTGATGTTCCAGTTACATCTGTCACTCTAGCTGATGGTATTGTTGTTCCTGATCCTTCACCTGATTGTCCAATTGTCTCAGTTCCTCCAACTGATGGTCTTGTTGTACCTAATCTTCCAGTTGATGGTGCAGTTGTTGCTAATCCTGCAGATGTTGTTCCAGTTGTCCCTGATTCTACAACAGATGGTCCTGATTCTATGACAGATTTTCCAGTTGTCCCTGATCCTTTGCCTGACTGTCCACTTGCTCCTGTCAGTAGAACAAATGGTCCATTTGTTCCTGATTCTTCAGCTGATGGTGTAGTTGTTTCTGCCACTCCAGGTGATGGTTCAGTTATTCTTGTCACTCTAGCTAATAATCTAGTTGTCCCTGATCCCACAACGGATGGTCCAGTTGTTCTTGACCCATCAGCTGATGGTTCAGTTGTCCCTGTTTCTCTAGCAGATGATTTACTTGTACCTAATCCTCCAGTAAAAGACCCAGTTGTCCCTGATTCGGTAGCTGATAATCTAGTTGTTTTTGATCCTATAACCAATTTTCCACTTGTCCCTGAACCTTCAGCTAATGGTCCAGTTGTCACTGATTCTCTTGATGAAGGTTCAGTTGTCCTTGACCCTCCAGATAATGATCCAGTTGTTTTTAATTCTGAAATTAATGGTCTGGTTGTCCCTGATATTTCAGTTAATGATTCAGTTGTCCCTGACATTCCAACTGATGGTTCAGATGCTCCTGTGACTCCTGACAATTGTTCAGAAGTCCTTTTCACTACAACTGATGTTCCAGTTGCTCCTGATGTTGCATCTGATGGCCTCACTGTCCCTGAAACTTCAGATGATAATTTACTTGTCCCTGTTATTTCAGATGATTGTCCATAATTCCCTATTACTGTAGCTGATGGTCCAGTTGTCTCTGTCTCCCGAGTTGATGATCTAGTTGCCCCTGTCACAAACAAATAGTACAAGGAGAGTAATGTTAATAGCTGTTTTGGTCCTTAGTTAACTTTCAAGGCTCATGTTGCTTTATTTCTCTAGTATAGCTTTTATACATCTTCATCTCCATAATCACCATATTATTTCATACTTTACTTTTTGCTACACTGTAACTTCTTAAAAATATATATATACACACACACATACAGTCTCACTCTGTTGCCCAGGCTGATCACAAACTCCTGGGTTCAAACAATCTTCCTGAGTACCTGGGACCATGGTGATCTTCACTGTGCCAGCTCTAGTGTAACTTCTTTCTGTTTGTTTATTTTCATAAAAATCATTTATCCACTATCTGTTGTGTGTCAAAGAAGTTGTCAGCAACTTGTATCACTTCATTTTACCATTAGAATAATTCTATTTGAGATTTGAGATTTGTAATAGTACCTTTTTCTTTTATGGAATAGACACTAAAGCACCTAGAAATTAAGTAGCTGTTCTAAGGGAATGCCCTATAGGGCATTCTAGTGGGAAGAAAGAGAGAGGTAGACATAAATAAAATCACCAACCAATAACCAAATTCACAAACAAGAAAAGCTTCAAAGCATTGGCATAAAATGAGTTGATATTGAGAAAATGGGATGTTCTATTTTAGATTGCCTGATTAGCAAAGGCTTCTCTGAGAATATCTTTATTTTGAAGTCTGATAACAAGCAGCCTGCTAGTGAAGCTCTAGGAAGAATGGCATTCCAGGCAGAGGTAACAGCCAGTACAAACATCATAAGGCTGATGGAGCTATGCTTGCTAGAAAAGCAGAGCTAGAAGTTAAATATGGCTGGATAATGGGAGATGAGCTGGGGAATATTATAAGATAAGGCCAGATATGTAGGAGTAAGCAAAATGTAATGAATTAGGGGAGAAAGATTGAAGATTTTTCTAAATGCAAGGGGCTATAATTTTTTACAGGGGAGAAATAGTATAGAATTCATATGCATTTAAAATCCCTCTTTACACTCTGTAGAAAATATATGGCAAGGGGTGCATAATAGAAGTAAGAAGACCAATTTGAAGTTCAGATAATTTGAAGTTCAGTCTTATGCTAAAATTGTGATAAAGGAGACTAAGAATAGTGGATGGGGGCAGCATGTGTATCACAAGTAGCATTAACAGGACTTGTTTAAATATGGAAGGTACAAAGAAAAAGACAGCCATCAAGGACAATAATAATATTTTTACCTGAGTGAATTGGGTCAGTGATGGTAACATTTTCTAATATGGGGAAGACTCAGAGAACAGGTGTGAGCATAAAGGGAAATCCAGTATCACCCAGAAGGCTCTAGTTCTGAAGATAATATAGCAAGAATACCCCTAAGGAACCAGATGAAGATGGAAACCTTGGATCTGCAGAGACATGCATCTGTAGAGTGGTGTGTCTGTGTGTGTATGGGTACATGTTTCCAGCAAAACTCCACTATTTGAGTGGAGCAGAAAACAGTCTACTACCTCCTGACAGCTCCAATCCTTCCATAAGGTTTCCTTCCATATGACCTGTGATTTTATCTCACTGATGAGAATAAAACCTCTTCATCTTTTACCAGACTGGAAGCTACTATTGACTTATTGAATTATTTACCAAATATCCATCAGATATTTATCAAGTACCCAAACCAGGAACTGAGCTAGGCACTAGGAGCAAAACTAAAAACAAAAACAGGCAATATTACAATATTTCTTTAGTTTTAACAGAAATCACCATGTTGGTGGTCTGTCTAGTAAAAGATGATTAGATGAAGAATCAACAATCTAGGCCCTGACTCAGCACATACTCATCCTGTGAATTTGGGGTAAACACATTGATTTTACATAGATAATATTTGAATAATTACTAATATATTATTGACTGCATAGGGTGTCTATAAGATTCAAGTAAGTTAATATATGTGAAAACACTTTGCCCATTTTTACACTTTCTATACTTTTTTTCTGATGATCATTTTTACTTTTGTTAAAACAGATTAAGATAATTCATACATAAGTATATAAACATATGACTGCTTCATGTGTTTATATTATCAACAATATTGTATTAAATATAGCCAGTAGAAATGAAGATATAAGAATGGTTTTATCTACTAATATTTTATCCTACCCTTGTATTTTTCATGCAAGTTTTTTTGGCTATTTTCTGAGAAGTATTTAAATATAAATAAATAAATTGATTGGTAATCTATCTCTTTAGTCATTTGAAACAAGTATTATGAGACACAAACAATGTTTAGCAAGGGATCTGCAACACCTATTGCATAGTTTACATATTTCTTCAACAGGTCAGCTTTGAGCAAATGAGTTATAGACAAGCCCTATTTGTAAACTGTAGAAAAGAAGACTAAAAAAACCCATGTGTAGAGGTCTTAGGAAGAAAATTGATTTCTGAATTTTTAAACAATTCAGAAGGCAGTGTTACTTATCAAATTGTTCTTAGAAATGAGGAAATCTATTCATCAAGGTTCTAGATCTCTGTTCAGTAAAGAACATATGGGAAAATATGCTAATACTTTAAACCAAAAAAATTTCTAATACTGAAGATAGTGGTGTTTTGCAAAAGATTGCAAAAAAAAAAAAAAAAAGAATTCCAGTTTGAAATTTAAATATCCTTGCTGATGTAAAATAACCTTTTGATGCCCAACAGCATATTATATTATTTGAGACAGAGAAGAATTTATTGAACTCTTAAGTATTTGTATTATGGGAAAAATCAATTAATGATCTGCAAAAATAACTAACAGTATTTTGTAATTATTTTGAACTTTTAATCTATATTGAATTATGTTAGCTTGTTGTCTAAGTGATTTTGTGTGGAAAATGCAGAACTTAGACAAAGAAATTATAACAAAATGAGTAAACACATCCTTAGAAGCCGTTAACTCAAAAACAGCAATTATGGACCAACCATGGGATACAGTATCAGAAGATTACTATTGCTTTTTTTTTTTTTAACTTAACTCCACTATGGTTGTATCAAGTAACATTCCAGTGATTTCTAAATTGGTCTTGTGACATTATCCGATTAAAAAAGTGACACTAGTCTAGTTTAATAATGGAAAATATCTAAACTATCAGATCATTTTTATATCTGTGATTTCAGGTATTACACTAATTGATACCCCAATGGTACATAAATACTGAATAACAAAGCATGCGATGGCAATCTTTTTAATGAATTCACAGGATATTTAAATAACAGTGCTTTAAGTTTCATGCAGGAAAAATTTTCAACTGAATTAATACCCTACTGAATAAGCTTTTATAAACAGGTTTCCACACTTACTCCCATTTTTGTGACCTTTTAGTGCTTTGCTAGTCTCACCTGGTTTATTTGAAGAGCCCATGCTGGTACCACTGCCGGACCACCCAGATGTCATTTCACCTCCACTAGTTGCACCACCTGGTATTCCAGCCGTGCCTGTTGCAAAGGCAAAAATGGAAAGGACTCATTCACAGAATTTCTTAAGTGATGAGATAAACAATTCTCATTTAAATTAACTTCCAACTAAAAATTATAGAAATGTTCATTTTTCTGTATTGATAAAAATAATGATCCTTTCCACATTTAAAAAATGTACTTTGATGTACACTATTCATTATTTCCTTGGCTCCTCATCCCAAGCTCACAAAGTAGATCACTTTGACCCACATATTACAGATAAGAAAACAGAGGTTACAGAGGTTAAGTGATTTACTTACTTAATAGCATGACACTGATTTTGAGGAACAGTATTACATGAACATCCTATATTGCCTCCTGCAAGTGCTGGGTCCCCCATTTTATCTACCTGGTTTGCTTCCAGAGATTGTCACTGCTGTGGCTGAGGCTGCATTGGTGTTTTCACTCACAGGGCTTCTTGTAGTTGAGGCAACAGATACTGTTGGGGTTCCTGGTTATGAACGACAATGGTTCAGGCTCACTGCTGTGAAAGTACTGGTCCCTATTCCATGCTAATAGCACAGAACTGAGATTTCTAAAGTATAGTGCATTAAGGACATCTTCCAGATGCTTTCCCTATGCTCTGACATTTAATGTCAGTTATAGCCCGACCAATAGTTCACATCACAACCTGCTGAGGAAGGCAGGGTTGAGAACTGCTAAGGAGTCATGTCCGGATTTGCCTGAGTTTCTAAGACTGGTGGTTCCAATGCCTGCTTCCTTGGGGGTGCTGCTACCTGGTGATACCACAGGTGTGCCTGACACTTTCAGAAAAAACAAACAGTTTAAGAAACTTGCTTTTATTCAATCACTGTGACCTGAAACAATTCGGAAATCTCTTCCAGCATATTTATACTCATAATGTTTACTCAGCTTAGTGATATTAGGACTTCTTGCTCAGGAAGGGTGTACATGTTAATCTGATAAGGCACTATTATAACATCACAATCCTTATTTGCCTTTGGCACTGAATTACCTACAGTTCTTTCTAAAATTACCTTCAAGTTATCATTCCAGAGTAAATTATTCTCCCAACATCTTTTGCTATATTACTTACTTTTTGCTTTTTTCATGTGTTTAAACGTTACTTTCTTCTAAAAATTCTAAGCTTTGTAAGTATAAGAGCATCTTCTGGTACAGAACACATTACTGAGCCCTCAGTAAATATTATCTAGCCAAAATAGAAGTGTTTGTGTTAGAGTAGGCAGAAAGCCAGAAATGAGCAGGCAAGGAGCCCTCAGGGAAAAAGTCCTGGAGACACTGTCCACTCATAGTCAGTGCTGCCCATTGACAGTCAGCAAAAAGGCAACTGCTACACTGGCTACTTCTGGTCTTGCGATTGAGCTCCTCCTGCCTTGAAAGGGACCTGCCAGGCCCTAGCTGGAGAGAACCAGATTAAGGCCTGTCCTCACTGACAAGCATGCACACTCCTCCAAAAAATTGTCCCGGAGTAGACTTTTGCTCATTATAATAGTAAAAAACACATCCCTGGGTGGAGATTTTAAATGCTAATGAGACATGCGATTTGTGTACTAGCATGTACAACCACAGAGCATGCGTGCCAAAAGAGACATCCTGAAACATGCGTGTAAATAACACCCCCCTCACGCCTCTTCATCAATAATCACCTAAGAGTCTCATAAAAGAGGTCCCCCAGCACTAGCTGCTGCTGGCTCATTCTGTCAAGCAGCCCACTCTGTCTCGTGTTTCAGGGTGTACTTCTGAAATAAATCCTGCTCCTACGATTTTTTTTATCTGTACCAGCACAGATTGCTTTCCATTACTTTCTAAGAATGTACTTTATCTTCCTTCAATAAACTCTTCCACTTAATCCTTGCTATGCATCTCTTGGCTCAATTATTTCTTCCAAGTTAGAAAAAAACTGAAGGTTCCCACAGTTTCTGGTAACATTTGCACTAATCTATTTACAACTACTAAATTCTTCATAATCTCTTTTGATAAATCAAATTTTGATATCAGAGCTCACACTTCTGCTAGTTAAAAATAATTTTAGATATGAATGATACTTCACCTGAAGCTAAAGTGGTTGCTGCATCTGATCTTCCAGTTGCATCCAATTTGAAAAATTATGAGGCTCTGCCTATAGCTTGTTGCTATGCTGCAAATGCTTTTTGACAAAAGTTTACTATTAAACTTTTTATTTTTTATTAAACTTAGTTTGTTATTGCTAGAATTTTCCTCAGTCATTCTCTTGTAATTAACTTCTTTTTTAAAACTCACTTGGGCTTACGCTAATTATATATAAGAACTTTGTGTTTGACCATTGCTCTGACAACAATATATGCTTTGTCTTACCTGCTGTGTTTCCAGGGCCAGGGGCCCCAGTACCTGATGCTTCAGCTGTGCTTCCACTGCCTGCTCTGGTGGTGGCTTCCAGAGACCCTTCTGTTGGACCTGGTCAACATGCAAAGGCAGCTAGGATTACATGAATTTCCAAAGCTTCTAGGAAATTAAGGCAACTATTAAATACTCTCAGACATTACCATTATTTATCCTTTTGTCTGAGTATTTCAATAGCTTTGTTTCTGATTAATGCAATTGATTTGAATGAATAAGCTTTTGTGATTATTGAGCCATTTACTCAATATTAAATCCCAACTCACTGCCTGGCATCCCAGCCATTCTTCCTGCCAGTGTAGTCAATTCAGCGGATATTCTGGTTGTTCCTGTTTTGTTTTGTTTTGTTTCATTTTGAAGCAGGAGGAAGAGGAAGAAGAAAAAGAGGAGGAGGAGGAGGAAGAGGAGGAGGCCGGGGCGATGAAAAGTAATATGATAATATTTTTTAAACTCAACTTGATTATTTATGATGTTTCTATGACTACTTTCACCACCCAAATTCATGTCTTCGTTCCTCCTACCTGAAACATTGCAATTGTTTCCTAACTTTACCCAATTAGCAGGACAATATTCTTCATCACAAATATATTCTCTGCTCAACAATATTGAATGATAGTAATTCTTCAACATTAATGTGTGTAAGAATCATCTGGTGAGCCTATTAAAAATGAAAATTTCCTATCTCTCCCAGCAGAAATTCTAATTCTAACATTGAACAGGTTGGTCTTGTACTGCAATTAAATTCTTATATTCATTTTCAGTTTGCAGGGCATCCAGAGGATAAAAGAATAAGTTAATTTACATAATGGAGAATAGCTAAATTTAGAATATCTAGAAAGGGATATAAGAACTTGATTAGTTTCAGGTTCATCATTTTCGACAGGAATAATTTCTAGGTGATATATCACAAAAGGAGACACATAACATCAAGTCCCCACTATCAGTGATGCTATGTTTGATCACTAGGTTTAAGTGGTGACAGCCAGAACTCTCCAGTGTAAAGTATTTTTTGATTCTGCAGTTAGCAAATAATCTGGCATCAGACAAACATCCAGGTCCTACTCAACCTTTCACCTAATGTTTTCAGCATGTATTTTGCTCCTTGTCCCTTTAATTCAGGATTTCAAAACAATGATTTTTCCAATTGTGTCTTTGTTCAACATTTATTGGTTGGAATCTTTCTTCAAAAAGAGAGATTTCTCTAATCAACTGTAACTATTTCAATATCTTGATCCATAGTTTCTAATAAAAAATACTTGATAATTGATTAATTTTCCCGTTAATTACCAAACTTCAGAATAAGGACTTGATATGATAGTCACTGTGCTTCTTTTTATTAATCATCATTGGAGACATGTATATTTCAATATTATAAATGTGTCTCAATCAACTACAAATAATTATTTTTTCAGTGCTCAAAATTCTCCACATTTGGTCAACAGGAGCTCATGTAGTTTAGTGCCCTTGTCATTTAAGCAGAGCTCCCTTACTCTTTGAATGCTTCTTCATTTTCTGACTCAAGAAGTCCTAAGCTCACCTTGAACTTTTCTTGCCCAAGACCTGGAATTAATCATTTCTCCAAGCAAGAGTGAACACAGAAATTTAGGAGCCCAAAGTGGGTGACAAAGGGTGCACACTACTGTTAGGGTACCAATGACTGCAGGCCATTTCAATGGCCAGAGTTAGAAGATATAAATAAATATATAGAAAATAAATGTATTATATTGGAAGATATAGATATATATATATTTCCATATATTAGAAGTATATATCACATATTTATAATAAATTTGTAAATATTTCTAATATATGCAAATACATATTTTCTACATATCATATATTCAGATTAATATAAATTACACATATATCATAAGTTTATATATATATTTCCAACTCAAATGGAACATCACAGAAATTTACTTAATTATTTCTTTTTTTTTTGAGACAGGATCTCCCTCCTCCCAAGCTGAAGCGCAGTAGTGCAATCACAGCTCACTGCAGCCCAACTTCCTTGGCTCAGGTGATTCCCTCACTTCAACCTCCCAAGTCGCTGGGATACAGGCATGTACCACCATGTGTGGCTAATTTTTTGTATTTTCTTGTAGAGATGGGGGGGGTGTCTTACGATGTTGCCCAGGCTGGTCTCAAGCTCCTGGGCTCCAGTAGTCTCCTGGCCTCAGCCTCTGAAAGTACTGGGATCACAGGTGTGAGGTGCAAGGTCCAGCCCTGATTTAATTATTTTATCTCTTTTCTTTTAAGTTGAAAATCTTGATTTCTAATAATATTCATATAACTACTAATTGTTTTATCCTGTGATATATAAAAAAATTTCAAGGTGAGAACACTAATGTAACTTCTAAGAAGAAAATTATTGAATCAAGTTTAAAATTGCCTAGCAATCTTTTTATACATGACACTAGCATATACAGTCTGATTACTGTGTTTTAAAGTCATGTGAAATAATTATTTTCTCCATGTGATTATAACTTGATATTCAATGAGGTTCACTTGTTTCAGTTAGTTTTCAGTTTTAGGGTTTGCTTTTTCATTTTAATTTTGTTTTTAAAAATACATATAACATTTTCCTTTTTTGAAAGCCAAAACTGTATTTAAAAGAATACTCAGAGAACTCAAAATCCTACTGTTCTGGTTTTTTCCTATAAGTAATGACTTTTACTAGTTTTCAGTTTATCTTCCGTGTTTTTTGTATACACACTTGTATATGTGTATATAATTCATATCCCTACAAAACATATATACATATATGTACACACACACACATACACATACACATACACATACACCCCTCTTTTTTCATAAAGGTATAAAGGGTAGACACAATTCTGACTTTTTTTTTTCCCTTTACAATAAATTCTGAAAGTAACTAGATCAGTACATGGAGATCTTTCTCACTCTTCTGTTAGGATGACCTAGTGCTGCTTTTTGTCCTCCTTTATTCAATGTGTCTTTGATGAGTTGTTTCCAATCTTTCTATTAAGAAAACAATGCTGGTATAAAAAGCTTATACATACATTATTTTGTACTTTGGTTGTCTGGCTTCAGGAGCACTAAAAGTGGGATTTCTGGGTCAAAGGATAAATGAGTCTGTAATTCTGTTAGATTTTGCCAAGTTCCCCTCCACGGGGCTGTAACATTTTCTGCTCCCACCAGCAATGTGGAGAGCAACACCTGTTTCTTTCCAGACCTGCCAACAGGGCTGTTGTCAAACTTTTGGATTTCTGCCAATATAAAATGTGAGAAATGCTATCTCAGTGTAGTTTTGATTTCCATTTTTCTTGTGTGAAGTTGATCATTTTCTCAGAGGATTAAGAATCATTTATAGTTCTTTTTCTGTGTAATTCAATTCACATCTTCTATTATTCTAATTTATGATTTGCTCTATGTACTTTTTCCCTTTGCTGATTTTGCTGGTATCATTTTGTGCAATAAATCATAGCCATGAATATGATTCTACACTGAGTCTTGTGAGTCCTTCTAGCAAAACTTGAAGGCGTTTTGGGCACACTGATATAGGTTGCCTTTCCATTTGGTCAAAAATGCTTTTGTGTCACTAAGGAGAGTTTTAAAGTTTTCCTCACGTAAGTTTTATCTTGTTAGGATTATTCCAAGGTAATTTATCTTGTTTGTTGTTTATATAAATTGGACTTCTCTCTTCAAATATATACTTTATTATTTATATTTATGAAGACTATTAATTTTTACAGATTAATCTTGTGTCTTGGTACCTTATTAAATTCTCTTACTGCTTATAATTTTTCCATTGATTCTCTAGAGTTCTGCAGGTACACTTTTCTATCATCTGTAAATGGAAATAGTTCAATATTTTCTATTTCAAATTCTATGCTTTCAATTACTATCTAATCCAATTTATTAATAACACCAGAAACTGTTAAATAATAATATGATTGAATGTCTTCTTACCTTGTTCCTAAAGTTAGTGAAATAGGTTTAGAAATTCCTTATTAAGATGCTACATGTGTGGCTGAGGTATATATACTTTCTTGTTTTTTGTTAGTTAGTTTGTTTGTTTTCTGAGTTGAAGTCTCACTCTGTTGCACAGGCTGGAGTAAGTGTAGTGGCATGACCTTGGCTCTCTGCAACCTTCACCTCCCAGATTCAAGTGATTCTCCTGCCTCAGCCTCCAAGCAGCTGGGATTACAGGCACCCACCACCACACCTAGCTAATTTTTGTATTTTTAGTAGAAATGGGGTTTCACCATGTTGACCAGAGTGGTCTCGAACTCTTGACCTCAGATGATCCTCTTGCCTCTGCCTCCCAAAGTGCTGGGATTACCGAGCATGAGCCACAGCACCTGGCCCTGTTTTAAGGAAGTATTCATTCCTACTATTTTGAGTAGTCTGTTTTTCCCTATCAGAAATGATTATTTAATGTTTATCAAATACCTTTTTAGCTTCTGTGGGTTGTTTTGTTTCCCTCAAATCTATTATTAATGTTATAAATTACATTAAAAGATTCCTTAATTTTGGTTTTAATAAAAATAATTAAATGTTAGTTTCTTCCTGAATGCTTTTTTTGTGTGTGTAAACTTAAGCTTCTCGTACTTAGCTCATGAGATTTAAATAATTCTCTGTACAACTTACTGTTTTCTGAGTAAAACAAATCCAATTGTTTTTCAAAATACTTTGCATAATTGACGGTTCAGGATTAATTCTTCCAGATATATGGTAGGTTCTTTCACTACATAGATTTAGGGGTTTTTTTTCCTAAACTAAGAAAATTTTTGCCTTACTTATAATTTTAAATATTAGTTCTCTTTCATTGCTTTTTCTTCTCCAGAAATGGCAATAATGTATATTTTGGATATTTTTGCCTGTTTCCTAAAACTATAACCTTCTCTAGCCTGTTATACCTTTTTTTTTTGAAAGTGTCTGCAATATTTCAGGGATAGGGAACATCTTTTCAGTTCTGTCCTCTAAAATCCTTGCTGTATTTTAAGTTTTATTTATTCTTAGTGGAGCACCTTGCTATTTGGTCTTCTTTTGAGATGATTTTTCTTTTTCTTCAGTTTTTCTCCTGGGTTTTCACCAATTCCAATTTAACATCTTCCTGCTGTTTATCTATTTCCACTCTTAATTTTTAATCTGTAATTTTTATGTCTCTTTGTAGCTGCAGTTGTTTCCTTAGTTATTTTATGTTACCTTTTTATATTCTTTGGCTTCATGACTAGATATTTAGAATTTGCTTGCTGTCGCTGCAAAGTTTTTGAAAATGTATACAAAGGAATAGCTGTGTCTCAATATTGGAATTTCATTTTTTTCTTCATTATTACTATTTTTTTCATTGTTTTGTGGGCCAGTAATAGCAGGAGATTCTATGCAGGGGGCAGCAGAGAGGCTTCAGGATGGCTTCCCAGATTTCTCAGATAAAGGGCTCCCTCTTATGTTCTTACAGTGAGGGAGCTTCTTTTATAAGTGGCACTTTTTCCCTGTCTGTCTTCTGATGCTTTCATTAATATTGTTTTATTGAGACTCTTATTTTTACATATTTTGTTTTTCCTTTGACACCCAGGATCCAAGGGCTCCTCTCCCTTCCAAAGACTTCCATGCATTTTCCGATACTCTTTCAACTCCACTCATGCAGGCTCTCTGAACTGTCAGGTTCTAGATTTTCTGTCAGTATTTTCCACTCAAGTTAGGGGATCTTCCTTTTGAGGCTCCACTCCAGTTGATTGAAACACTAGAATAATGGTATTCTACCACTATTAGGACCTCGCTATACTTCTCTATTTTCTTTGATGTCCTTACCTAAATCTCAGCCCCACTGTTAGCCTCAGAGCCATCGTTCCCAGTTTTTGAAGTCTTGCTCTTCTCTGTCTCCTCTAAACACCATAGATGTGGGCTCTGTTTTGATGTTTACAATTTGAAGAAATCGTAGACTCTAATTTAGGCAGCCACTGTTTTCCTGTTTTTTTCCCCCATTGATTTCCTGAGCTTAAATGCTATTACATTCTACTAGTGTCAGTGCAAATTAAGGATAACGTTGATACTATGACTAATTAAATTACATTCTGCTTGTGATAAAAGGATTTTTGATGTGTTTGAATATTTAACCAGGTCATTAGAGGTATATTATCTAGGAAATTAGGTTAAGAAAGGTTCTTCACAGATTTAGCTATGAAAAACTTACTCACCTGCTTCATTTCCAGAGATGAATTTAGGATGAACTATGTGTAATAAATCGTGCTCTCAAGTCCTCCTACTTGAAGACTGTTATCATTTATATTGAGAACATGTATATGGTCAGTAGTATCTGCTTGGGTATATATTATAAAAGAGTGAGATATCTCTCTGATTTTTCACTGTCTTAACAGACTACCTCTCGTGTATCACATTCTGTTTTAATGCTTATTCAATAATAAACCTGTATTTAATTCTCTACTACCTTTTTTCAGAGGGTTTCTGGGTTTGAAGAATATATATATTTTTTAATTCTACTTCCCCAAAACCTGAATGATAATTGCTTTTTATTCCCTTGTAGTTGAATAGATGCTTAAAATTTCACTCAGCTTCCCTATATTTTCAGTTTTTGTTCAAGTTGGGGCATATAGACATAGCTCAGACTACAGTGATTATAATATATTCTTTTCAAAATAGAATAATTCTGTTGTTTTAACCAAATTAGTCACTTTACTAGATTTGCCTCGCAAGTCTTATTCGAACATGTGTCATAGAACAATTCCTCCACTTTTGTTATCTTTTGCCTTGGATGGTTTTGCTTTTGTATTATAAATATTAATTTCTTTTCTTCAGAAATGAAGTTACATGAGAACAAATACCTTGCTCTACTCCTCTTTTATGTTATCTGTATCACCCAGGATGATGTTGTACACACAACAAATATTTTTTGATTTTTTTCTGATCTTCTGCAGTTTTGACATTACACAAATAATGATTATTATATTCCCCAAGGAACCTTGTGTCTGACAAAATTTTAAGTAAAAGAATTACACTTCGACTGCCTGGATTCATTCTGATTATGCTCTTTCCATACCTGATGCTCCAGAAGTGTTTTCACCAGCAGCTCCAGTGGTGGCTACATTTCTCCCTTCAGTTGTTCCTAGTTGAAAAGAGCAACAAGTGCTCAGTCTGCATCAGAGTTTTCAAAATCACGAAATAAAAATACAGGATACCTAGTTACATATGAATCCCAGACAAACAATAAACACTGTGTTTCAATTATTGCATGGGACAAACTCACCAAAAAAACAATTGTTCCTGATTTGTGTGAAATTCTAATGTAATTGGTATCCTATATTTTCTCTGGCAACCTTAGTCTACATAAATGCTTATGATGAAATACTCTTTGAACAAATTTCAGGGTTTCTTTAGAGGGGTAAGGGGTCATAGGACTTAAACTATCCATGATCATTTGTTGTAAATTATGTACCTTCTAAATTCATTTAAACTTATAAGAATTTGAGTTTCCAACTAAGTTTGTGACGCACCACCACTAAAGTGACCAGGTGAACCCGGGGTTGGCCTGGTGAGTTTCCCAGGTGGGTTGGAACTAGTGAAAGATGTTCTAGTTGTGGTTTCACTGTCAGATCCAGCAGTAGTTCCAACAGACTGTCCTGTTACACCTGACAAACACAGTATTGGGAGAGTATATACATTTTTATGACAACCTAGTGCTGTAGTAGTTTTAAAGGAAAAATTTAGAGACAACATAAATTAAAACTTCTCTTAAAAATGTTAATCACTTATATACCATTCTATCTTTTCTTGGATGGCATTTATACTAGGTAAAATTTGCCGAGTTCTGATGAAACACTATCTTTTTCACCAAAAGCCATGGCCTTGGAATGACGTCCTCTACTCACCTGACATGCCTTCAGATGGTGTCACTTCACTGCTTGTGGCTCTAGTTTTTTCACCCACTGAGGGTCCAGTAGTTCCTTTCAAAATAAACAATAAGTATGTATCATGATCTTTGATTTAGCAGAACAGAGCGTGCTACTCTCTGCTTCCAAAATATCTTTTGTTTATACTTCTTCGTTTCCAGAAATGGTTCACCCTTTCTACAAATTGATGATAGTAATCTTTCACAATTGTGTTGGAATCCCTGAGAGTGCTTATTTACTTCTTTCTTGTAAATAAGCTTGCTTATTATTTATTTAATATTCAGATATTTGAGCCTAGTGGTTCTCAATCCAGGTTACATATGGGACCCATGAGGCTTTTAAAAATACTTAATGCTTGGTCCCTTCTTCCAGGGATACATGTTCAATTAGTCTGTGAAGGATTCTTCAACGTGTATTTTCAACCATTTCTCTAGTTGATTCTAATTTGTAGTTAGGATTGCAAACCATGATCCTAGCCCCACTCCAGACTCACAGGCTCAGAAGTTCCAGAATAGGAACTTCCGTCTGAATCTATACGGCTGATTACTACCTGCAATACCGGTGGTCAGTAACTGGGCTTCTTAACTCCAGTTCTCATTCTTTACAATGCTGCTACATAAAGGAAATGTGGGCAGATCCACACTCTCCATTTTACTCCTGCACACTCACCAATTTTTCCTTTTACTTACCTGCTTTGCTACTTTCAGAGGTTGTGGCTGAGGCTCCAGGGCTGGCAGTGGTGGAGCCTGTAGAAACTCCTGTGCTTCCTGAAACCAAGACAGGGAGAGGTATGCATGTTATTACTTCTGTTACTATGACTACTTGGAAGTTTCCAGAAAAAGGAAGTGAAAGAAACTATTCCTCCAACTCTCCTCAGCCTTGCATTCTAATACTAGTTCTACCCTGAGTTTACAGAGCATCACTTAGTGTGGGAGTCATGGCTGGGAGCTTCTGAGACATTAGGTCCAGCCTGGTCCATCTTACCAGAAACTGGAGCTGCAGTGCCTGCTTTTCCGGGGGTACTACCACCTCCGACTGCAGGGGTTGCTCCAGATGATATCACAGTTGTGCCTAATTTTTTTATCATGGAAAAAAAAAATAATGGCTGCTTAAGAAAGTTAAACCCTTATGAAAGTCACCTGAAATACACATTTTTTTCCTTTAAAAAATGAATCTATCTCATAAATATCATGATAATTTATTATTCAAGGTAAATCAGATAAATCAGGAAACTCTGATATTGTACTGATTTCAATAAAGGAGTGCTTCTTAGTAAAATATAGTAATCATGCAGATAATTCACTGTTCAACATTGAATAGTTCAACATTGAATTATCTAGACTCTTACTAGAATTGCCCTACGCTTTCAACATTGAATTATCTAGACTCTTACTAGAATTGCCCTACGCTCCAGCATGTACCTTTTATTTGCTTAATTAACTCCTAACTTTCTTAGTCTTTATCATCTACATCCTCTCCAAAGTGAAGTGGATTGAGAACAAATATATGGCCCTATTCTTTTCCTGTATTCCACAGAGCATCTATCACAGTATTAGGTATACAGCACATACTTGTCGGAATGATCTGAGCTTCAGGACACACAGCCTTACATAATGTTTGGATTCCCCAAGAACCCTTGTTTCTGACTAAATTTTGAGCAGAAAGCTCACGTGTCTACAGGACAGCATCATGACGGTTTTACTCCTGTAGTACCTGTTCTCCCAGATGTATTTTCACCAGCAGCTCCAGTGGTGGCTGCATCCACTCCTCCAGTTGTTCCTACTTGGAAGAATAATGGTACTTAATGTATATGGATAGTTATGAAAAAATTCTTTCAAGATATTCATAGTTTCATGTCATTTTCCTAAAATATTGTCCTTGGTTATCTCTATCTAATCTCATTATCATATTCTGGGGTCTTGGCAAATCTTGTGTTGGACCCCAACTACAGCCCCCTAAAAGAGTCTTTGTCTTACCTGCTGGGTTCCCAGGGCTGGTGGCCCCAGTGCCTGATGTGCTTTCCCTGCCTGCTCCTGTGGTTGCACCAATGGATTCTCCAGTCGTACCTGACAAACACAGTGGCAGTGATTTCAACATATGGTGATTCTGAACGAAAAGACTAGGCGATTCAAGTCAATTTTAAAGCTTCCTGAGCAGCATACATATTTTGATTATCTACCCATTTAGCAGGTGCTAAAGCATGTGTCCTGACTTGTCTGATTTTCCTGGGCTTGTAGCTCCTATGCTTGGTTCCCTGGGTATGATGCCCTCCTCTCCTCTCATTGTTGGGGCAGGAGGGCCACTGGTTACTTTTGATAAAAAACAGTATTTTTAAAAAATGCCCCAGCCGGGTGCAGTGGCCCGTGCCTGTAATCCCAGTATTTTGAGAAGCCATGGTGGGTGGATCACCTGAGGTCAGGAGTTCAAGACCAGCCTGGCCAACATGGCAAAACCGCATCTCTACCAAAAATACAAAAATTAGCCAGGTGTGGTGGCACATGCCTGTAGTGCCAGCTACTCAAGAGGCTGAAGCAGGAGAATCACTTGAACCCAGGAGGCAGAGGTTGTGTGAGCCAAGATTGCACCACTGCACTCTAGCCTGGGCAACAAGAGCAAAACTCCGTCTCAAAAAAAAAAAAGACCCTACGCAAACCAACTCATTTACTCTTTTAAAATTCCTCTGAAACAAGTCATATTATTATTCCTATTTATTAGATGTGATTAAATGACTTGTTCCAGGTCACTCAGTTGATTGACAGCAGATCCAGGAGTCAAAATTCAAGCAGTCTAGCTACAGTTAATATTCTAATCTGTGCTTCTTGAACAATCCATTGCAAAACATCAATTTTGTAAAATTTGCAATCTGTCCTAGATGGTTACTTTGAAAAAGGCCATAAAAGTAGAGAAATTATGCCTGGCACAGTGGCTCACACCTGTAATCCCAGCACTTTGGGAGGCTGAGGCATGCGGATTGCCTGAGCTCAGGAGTTGGCAATCAGCCTGGGCAACATCGTGAAATCCCATCTCTACTAAAACAATACAAAAAATTAGCTGGGTGTGGCGGCAAGCACCTACAGTCTCAGCTACTCAGGAGGCTGAGGCAAGAGAATTTCTTCAACCTGGGAGTCAGAGGTTGCAGTGAGCTGAGATCACACCAGTACACTCCAGCCTGGGCGACAGAGCAAGACTCCATTTAAAAAAAAGAAAATAGAGAAATGAAATTTTTAAAAGTAAAACCATACCAAACACAAGTCTTTATTTAATAGACATAAAAATCATCCTGTAAAATTGCTATGTTTTTAAGTGCTTAGTCTCTGTTTCAGTTCTTATTACCTCAAAAACCAGTAACAATCTGGCTACTACCCCTCTGTCAACCAAACTTTGAGTAGCCCTGCTCAAAACCTTTATACATGCTGCCTCATAACCAAAAGAGATAGCTGACTGACTTATTGTTATTACCCAAGTAATTTTGATGCAGGTTTTAAGAAATGTAAATTAAATGGTTATCACGCTAAAATTTAAGTTTACTGATCTAATTGGAATGAACCAGTTTCTTAATTTGTGCTATTGTGCATTGATTATATCCTTTAAACCATTATTTTTTTATGTAAACTATATCTTATTCCAAAAAGTGTTCAAGTTGTAACTTTCAAATCAAGAAAATTGCTAAGGGAAATAAATGTAGAAAAAAATAAAATTAGGCCATGGATTAGTTAGCAAGTACATAAAGAGAAAGAGTTCCATGTATACACTAAAGAAATGGCTTTTAATCCATTTATGTATGTGAAGGAGTTTGTTCAACAAGACTCAGCTAAGCACCTAATTTTAGGAAATGTTACTCAGGACAGTATTTTTCAAAATAAATTAGTTGCTTAGTTGAGGCTGGTATACTTTGCTCTGAACTGAATTTACCTGCCATGCCCACAGCGTGAGTGATGGTGGGGCTCACTATTCGTGTTGTGCCTGCATTCCCAGATGTTGAGATGATGGGAAATGGAGTTTCAGTAATGCCTGAAAAAAACATAAACTTCTCATCCAAAGTCTACTAGGACTTTGTTACCAAGGGGTGAGTTAACTGTTTAATCAATTTTATCATAGAAAATAGTCTCAATAAAACCAGTGATTTTCTGCCTAGAGTCCCTTAAGAATTTGTTTTCATATCACAGCCTTTTTTTCTTTTTTACAAATATAGCTTTCTGTATCTTAAACTGAGTCACACTAGGCCTTCATACATTTGTCTAAATAACTATTTTAAAATAAGAAGAACCTACAGCCACTATGGAGAACAGTTTGGAGGTCCCTCAAAAAACTAAAAATTGAGCTACCATATGATCCAGCAATCCCACTGCTGAGTATATACCCTAAAGAAAGAAAATGAGTGTATCAAAGAGATATTTGCATTCCTATATTCGCCACAGCACTGTTTACAATAGCTAAGATCTGGAAGCAACCTAAGTGTCCATCAGCAAATGAATGGATAAAGAATATATGAAATGGAGTACTATTCAGTCATAATAAAAGAATAAGATACAGTCATTTGCAACAACATAGATAGAATGGGAGATCATTATGTTAAGTGAAATAAGCCAGGCACAGAAAGACAAACCTCACATGTTCTTACTTTGTAAGATCTTAAAAAATCAAATTCATTTAACTCATGAACATAGAATGTAGAAAGATGGTCACCAGAGCTAGGAAGGGTAGTGAGGGGTGGAGAAAAGGTAGGGATGGTTAATGGGTACAAAAAAATTTAAAAGAATGAATAAGGCCTACTATTTGATAGCACGATAGGGTGACTATAGCCAATAATAATTGCATATTTTAGAATAACTTAAAGAATGTAATTGGATTATTTAGACCACAAAGGGTAAATGCTTGAAGGGATGGATATCACATTCTCCATCATGTGCTTATTTCATATTGTATGGCTATATCAACATATCTCATGTATGCCACATATACTATGTACATCTACTATGTACCCTCATGTTAAAAAATAATTTTTAAAATTAAAAAAATAAAATAAAATAAACAGATCCTTTGCCGTAATCACTGTTGCCTGGGGCTGATAATAACCATAAAGAAACACTATTATGAAATAGTTAATTGCTACTTTCAGCCTTAAAACAGCAAAGAGAGTAACATATATTATTAGATGTGCACATGTTTAAACTTGAAACACCTAAGAGCATAACAGATGTTATTAGATGTATAACCCATGTTCTTTAAAAAAATTTTATGATATTTGCTACTGTGGTACATCCTATATTAATAATTAATGATAAAGAAGAAAATCAAAAGAGAAACCATGTTTCTATAGCCGGTCGATATAAACTGACCGAAAATAAATTCAATGTTTTTTAAGAAAAATTTAAAACCAGTGGTAAAAGCCTAGTAAACTACTTGTCTGAAATATTTTTGCTAAGGCCAAACTGTCCTATAAATGCTTTCTTAAAAACTCAAAGTTACCAATAATTTATACTATTGGATATTTTTATTTAACATATAAAACCAGGAATTAATATACTGACCTGTAGTAAAAGGTTTGGTGAGAGGACCTAGAGTCGTTCCTGAAAAGGAAAACAGAAATGATGTGAATTTTCCAACCTCAAGAAAAAAATACTAGAGAGATTGTTCTGCTGTTATATAGTTTTCAATGTAGGGAAATTTGTAATATATTGTGTTTAGAGTTAAAAATAAATTTGTATTTCATTTTTAATATAGTAACATACATGATGTACTTTCCAATGAATATGTGTATGTGTACACACACATATACATATGCTGAATTCTACTAAATACAAAGTAAATGGAATGTATATCAACAAGGGCAATAAGTTCTCTGTTAAGCAAAGACTTATTTTGCAGTTTATGGTTTCTTCAACTTTTCTCAGCTTCTGGTTGTCTGCATCTTGGATATTTTTCTATTGAGTAGCATTTAGACTATAAGGGTTTGGAGGGAAAAGGAGAATTTTTTTTTTAAGATTTATGTTTATTATTTGACATAGCAGGTTTGTGAAAATAAATTTGAATTTACTCTAAACAGCTGTTGTGGAGTATCAGTGAACTCCAGAAGGAAGAGGCCATATTTTAACTTTGTATTCCCAACACCTGCCCATTGCCAGGGATATGATTAAAGCTCATCAAATGTTTATTGAGGACCTGTGCACTTAAAAATAAACCTTTATTAATTCAGGGTTTTCATAAATAATAAATAGTCAGATATTTTCTCTATTTCAGTGTTAATTTTCATTGAAAATCCATAGGAATCCATTGCTTACTTTATGTAAATAATACCACTTTGCAATTTTATAGTGTTTCAGAACTTCAAAAAAAGTTGAGAAACAAACTTCTCACACAATCTATTTGATCCTCGCTCCTCATCCAGCCATACTGGCCTTTCTGTCATTTCTACCTGCTGTTTGCAGCCGTCTCTACTTGGAACACGGTTCTTTCCCCCTCTTCTCCTAGTTGAGCATTCATTGGTTAGTTCTCAACTCAATCACCTTTTCTTCAGTCTCTTCTGAGTTCCTTCACTGGATTAAATCCCCTCCCTCTCACCCCATGCCCTTTTAAGTACTCCATAGCTCTTGTGTTGATGTAAGTTTCCATTTGTTTTTGTAATTACTTAATTAATAACCATATTCCTGACTAGGCCCTAGGCTTTATAGAGGCAAAAACCATATCTATTTTAATTCACTTTAGTATCTCCAGAGCCTGTAAAGTGCCTAGCACATAATAAGAGTTTGATACTTGTCCATAGAATGAATAAATGAATGAATGAGTAAATGAATGGAGTCAAAATATTTTACCTAGTTTTTATATAAAGAATGGAGCTCAGAAAAGTTGAGTGATTTGTTCAAGATCACTGATGGTTAGTGATAAAACTAGGACTCAAATGTAGGTCACCAAGTAACTAGGACTGTGACCCATGCTGCTTTTTATGTTAGTCTTCCTATATACATAACACACACCTCTTGCAGTTTTCTTAATTACCCATTCATCTTGTTAATGGAAATATTAAAAATTAGACTAGAAGATGTAGAATACAATATGAAGTAAATAATAAAATATATGTCTACTCAAATTACACAATGGATATTTAAATAAGTATGGTAAGTAGTTTGAGAGAAAGTTTTTGTCACAGTTCTCAAGAGCTGACAAGGTTTAGTTGAGAAGAATTTTCAAAATTGGTTTCAGAGACTCTACCAACTGTACAATTCGGATCTTGATATCTTTTTTCACTAATGAGCACAATAGTTGCACATTTGAATTAAAATCACTTGCTGATCTAAGGATAGCATAGAAAGACTGTTCTGCCATGATCCACAGAGACTGTCAAGATTAGAATGATGTGGAAGAATAGATAGACCCAGATTCATCCAAAGATTTTGGTGCAGATTCCATTTCCCAGTATTGATTTAACCTTATAGAATTCCAGTGATCCAATCTGAGTACTTTCAAATTGAAGACAATTACATTTAATTAAAAGCAGCATTATCATATGAAATAAAATCTCCAAATTTTGCACATCTAAATAAATATGCTCTAATCAACAATGGATTCAAGAACATGGCTGCACACCATAGGTGGTCGTGCACTGATCATCACTATTTTTACCATATGCACAAGCGAACTTTTTTATAGGCCTTTCCTTATAATTGATGTTGCTGAGATGGCAATATGCTCATGTGCATCTTGAGGACCGATCTTTAATCAGGGTCATAGAGTTACCTAAGCTAGGCACAGATTGGAGTACATTCCAGTCAGGCTACTATGATATAGCTCCCATGAATGAACTTCAGAAGACGTAAGTCTGAAATTATCGATACAGCAATAAAAGTAGGGATAAGCCTTTACTAATAGGAAACACGAGAACCCACTTTTCTTCTGGGTATAATTATCCACCTGATGGGAGACAGCATTCCAATTTTCAACAATTTTGACATCCATACCATAGTTTCAACTTATTTTTCCATCACTTGCAAATGAACATACATGCTGGAAGTACTTGATACTGTCAATTACAATGCATCAGCTTCTTTGTGGACAAGACATAAAGAGTAATAGGAGGAGCTGCCTCTACCAAAACACTAAAAGCTCTACATGCCTACATGGTAGTATGATATTCCACCCTAAAAGCTTTTCCAAGTGGCTTTGTCCATTTGTGTTTCACCTTTCTATAAACTTAATATAAAGTCTTTCAATTAATTTTCTAGATACCACGAAGTTTTTAAATTACTTCTAAGAATCATTTTAATTTTTACAAGGAAAAAATATTTTGGCATTTTTTCAATGAATTTTATTTTACTTAAAATATATGTCTGAGAGATATGCTGAAGGAGTATCTATAATATTTCCCCTTATAAACAACAAATTCAGTACTACAGAGTCTATAGCTTTTGTAAAATATCTTATTCTGAAAAAAATTAAAAATTCATAAAAGTAGCTTTAATTCAGAAGTGGTATGTTTCTGATTAGTAACTGAAAAGGTATTAAACTCCCAAACTAAAATATAAACTAATTCACCTAATTATTATTTATAAAATTAACTAATAATAGAGTTGCCTTTACAGAATAACTGCTATGTATTACACTAAGCTGCACTATCACATTTACTATTTTCTCAAATCTTTCCATGTGGAGATTATTATTAGTTCCCACTTCACAGATGACAACACCAAACCTCAGGGTGTTGAGGGACTTAAAACAGGGTCAAACTTTAAGGGAAAGGATTCAAATTCTTATTTTTCTAATTCCACATTCCACTATACTTATCTATCTCCCTTTTCCTGATGAAAATATGTTTTTCTACAATTGATGCTAAATTCCATTTGACCCAGCAATCCTATTACTGGGTATATATCCAAAGGATTATAAATCATTCTATTATAAGGACACATGCACACGAATGTTCATTGCAGCACTGTTTACAATAGCAAAGACTTGGAACCAAATCAAATGCCCATTGATGACAGACTGGACAGGGAAAATGTGGCACATATACACCATGGAATACTATGTAGCCATAAAAAAACAATGAGTTCTTGTCCTTTGTAGGGACCTGGAAACCGTCATTCTCAGCAAACTGACACAAGAACAGAAAATCAAACACCGCATGTTCTCACTCATAGAAAGGTGTTGAACAATGAGAACACATGGACACAGGGAGGGGGGCATCACACACTGGGGTCTGTCGGGGGGAAGTAGGGGAGGGACAGCAGGGGGTGGTGGGGAGTTGGGGAGGGATAACATGAGGAGAAATGCCAGATATAGGTGATGGAGAGGAAGGCAGGAAACCACACTGCCATGTGTGTACCTATGCAACAATCTCACATGTTCTTCACCTGTACCCCAAAACCTAAAATGCAATTTTAAAAAAAGCACATCATATAAACAAAACTTACATATAACTTATAGCTGTAACATTTTAAGATTTTAAATTTTTGAGTAAATATCTATTTTTAACAGATCACATTGAGGTGTAACAGAAAACTACTTTTATATGTCAGTATCCCATGTATTCATTCAAGGTGGGGATTTTTTTTTTTTTGTTTTACTATAAACTTCCTAAACAATCTATGATTTTAACATAAGTCCTAATTTGAAATCAGAATCTGTAATTACATGTTGCTACTTTGATAACTGATTTAAATTAAATTTAATTTCATCCTCTTCTTTAAACATGGAAACACAGAGGCATTAGGATTGGAATCTAGAAAATATGTTCTGAATTGTAATTATCTCTACAACTTATTAGCAAGTAAACTTGAATGTATAACTTAACCTCTTTGTGTTTCCATCTACTTATTTGTAAACAGGGGGAAATGATGACACCACTTCCGAGAATTAGCTGTATCAAATCAGATAATATATATCATATACAGAGTAGCACTTAGTAAATATTAGCTCTGTATCAAGATCAGTCAATCTAAAGAGGAAAAGCCCTTTACTGCATAAATTTTCTTCTAAAAATAGCATGCTTATTAGAATGGTTAGTTAGGCATCTCGGAATATTTTAGCTCTTTGAAAGCATTTACTGTATAGAAAAGAAAATAGATACAGAAAGCATGTGGAGAAATTAAAGTTTACATATTGCTTCCCCTTCACCTTAAAGTTTTCTGTAATGTCTTTCTAAATCCCTCAAAAGTATACTTTACTTCTATTTACCTCAACAAAAAAGTTAAGGACTATTTAACAATGAAGTCATACCTTCTCTTCCATTCAAGATTACAGTTTAATCCAGTACTTGATCAAAAGCACTTTATCCAGAGAACAAGTTAGTGGCAAAAACCTGCACCTCCTACCCCACTGCCCTGCTGAGACTCTAAAATAAATCTTACCTTTGTGTTCAAAAATTATAGGTTTTTATGTTAAATTGACTTATTTGAAGACACAGAAAAATGTAAAAGTAGGAACGTTTTGACTAAGTTAATTTATCCCACTTATCATATTGGTTCTGCTGAAAAGCACTAATACATTTTCCAAAATTAAACAGGTTCCCATGTCCAAGAAACAAATCTTTCCATTTATTATAGATAGTTCATGGAGAGGCAATACATATTTGAAATGAGGTGTCTTCTTAGCTACACAATATATGAAATAAAAACTTTTATATTTCAATCTCTATTTAAATATTTTTGGTTGATGCATACTATATTTTGAAACAAACAAACAAAAATCTTTGCTAGTGATGATGTCCAAACACTTATTTTAAAATAAAACAAAAATGGGATTCATCGTTCTCATCACTGATCAAGTGAGATTTACCACTAGAAGACTTAAAAACAAAAATCATTTTGCAGTTATGGATTCATCACAATTTGTCAAATCCACTTTTAAACCACCAATGTCAGTAAAAAAAATATGACGCATCTTTCAAGCCTACAATTTGTGCAAGGCAATTGCTTTACAAAAAGACCTTTATTTCTTCTAAAAAGAGTTCTAAAAGGAAACACCTTAAACTGTTTTGTTTCCACAATGGCATAATGTTTACTGGACGAATATAGAAAGAAAAACAGTTTGAAAAGAAAAAATACGTTGGTGTCTCTTAAAGAAAAATGTTTTATTCTTACATGAAAAATGAAAATTAATAGATGTGACTCTTTTCCTTTAAAGGTCTGAAATAAAATTATCAGTAAACATTTATCTAGTACTTTCTGAGATTCTTGATTATCATCCCCACTTTATGTAAATTACTATGAATCCTCAGAAGAAAATTGGCATGTCATCTCATAGTTATTAAAATTCAGAAATATCACATTTTATTTTGAATATTTTGTACTCCATCCAAGTCCCTAGCACTAGTTGAAGTAGACTATTTTTGATTTTCAGTTAATTGAATCAACAAAGAAGACCAACTGGTAAGATCCAAGCCCTCAAGTCACAGATTTATAGGGAAAACTACATTAATCATTATTTGAATGATTTCTAAATTCCCATCTGTTTAGTATGATATGGTCACAGCCTCAGAAAAGATGAGGAATTAAGAATCACCACTAATTCTTAACACTAATCATTATTTTTTAACTGAAATTTGATCCATTTAACTAAAATTTAATTAAAGTTTTGTATGCTTCACTTTATCTGGAAAATTAGCAGTTCTTAATCCGTTCCAGGTAAGCTACACACGTATTATTAACAAATGCTGGGAACATATTATTAATTTGATATTCAATGTTTTCTGTACCTTGGGATTACTTGACTAACTTTATTTGAAACAAACACATTTTGTGGCACAATTGGAACATTTTAAGATGAAAAAATAAATATTTTTATACTTCTTTGTCCCCTGATTTTAAAATAACAGTGACTACAGTTTCTGGCTTTCATGGATAACAAGAAAAGAAAACCAATCCTAACTTCTCTCTAGATCATGTCAGAAAGTCCTTTTCCTTCTTATCCTCATAACCCTGAAAATGTTACTTAAGCTCTTTGCATTTCCTCACTAAAAATGATTACATGAGGAGGACTGTGGAGAGTAACAATCAGGGGATTAAGATTTAATCAGATACTGAATGAAAAATATTTAACGTAATGACTAGAAAGAGGTAAATAAAAGTTATTTTTAGCACACCTTTCTATATAGTACTAACATAGCATTTAGAAAATTATTAATATTATACTTACAGAGCATGAAATATCTACCAGAATTTCAGGGAAATTAAATAAAACATTAGGATTCAGTCAGGCAAAGCACGGAAGTCATAAATAATACTTAATGAATTCAGGAAAAAAATCGCCCAGGTAATCTTTCCTATAATTCAACTCTGCATTTGATTTATAATTTTTAAAATGCTACCATGAACATGATTGATAAGATTTTTATAGTGTTTTACAGTAAATGAGACAAAATATTACATGTATTTAACTTCATGTATAAACTTCATCAGTTGCTCACAAAAACCCTAGCAGGGTAATCTACTCACGATCTTCTGTTTTCCATGGAAAGTTTGCTTGCTACAGTACAAAGTGTTGACAAAATAAAATTGGATATTACATTCAAAACCAGGTGTTTGAAAAGAAAACATTAATATATATATATTATATATATAAGAAGAAATTTATATTATATATAAGAAAAAATTTATATTATATATAAGAAAAAATATATATAAGAAAACTATAAGAAAAATTATTATAAGAAAAAATAAAAAAATTTATATTACATATAAAATATATATTATACATTTTATATATAATGTATAAATATATCTAAATATACATTAATATACATATTTATATATAAGCTAGAAAAATTTAAACACTTTTAATAGTTCTAGGTAAGTATTGTGATACAGGATATAGATATGATAATCACAACACTGAAGAAATAGATGAAAGAGTTATCTAAACTGCTATTGATTCATGTCTATCTATGGAGTTCATCAAATCAAGGAAAAAAGCATTTCTTTAAATGATCACAATATTCAAAAGTTTTAGTAGCTGATGAATGACTGACTAAAGGAGAGCTTAGTATCTGAACTAAATTAATCATCATAGAAATAGAACCAGGCTGAGAATTAGGAATTCAGTCCACTGCTTTTGACTGAGGTAATATGTAGCTAGAAAATTACTCTGTGGTGTATATGAAATGATTCAAAAAACTATTGGGATGAAATTGTTATTGGCCTTGGGAAATGAATTTATGATTACAGACTGCAGAAAAACATTTTTGAGATGTGTCAGGCTTTCTGAGATTTACGTTGAAAGATTCAATAATGCTTTCTGTTGCTAACGGTATTCAACACAAGAGAAAGTTTGACAGGAAGTAGCATGTTGTTTTCGGTATTTTTATATTGTGCACTATGATGGCTGATGCATAAGATATACATGTATATTTATCTCTTTAACATAAAAATATATTAAAAATAGACAATACTAAGATTTATAAAATGTTCAAAATTATAGTCATAATTCTATATTATAATATCAATTTATAATCCAATAATAGTTGGGTTTACACTGTATCTTTATATTGAAGATTAGCTCTAATGAGTGAAATGTGTGAACTGTTGGATTTATCAGTATAACTAATAGCTAACAAATAGTTTATGCTTCACCAGAAATTCTGTGCTAAAATTCTAAACCTGAGCTCTAAATTTTCGACAGGGACAAAACAGAGTACATTCACTCTGTAAATACTTAACTGCCTGCGAATGTGTACTTTGACACTAGGTACAATTGGGACTAAAGGATAGTGAATCATGGTCTGTGACTTTAAGGAACGTGGTCATTTAATAGTTGATAAATTAATAAATAACAAAAGAAGAGCTATAGTGCTAAATTGGGAGGTAAAGACCCTAAGTATAGAAAAGTGAGTATGTGAAAACTAATGCAGAGTTGGAAGGGTGAAATCCATGGATGGTTTTCTCAAAAACATAGTCTCTAGAAAGAAATGACATATATTATGCATGTGAATCTTCAACTTAGTAAAACTGACATCTTACTAATTGTAAAATTAATTAGTTTAAAGAAAAACAGGTGACTATTATATATTATAAGCAAAAATAACATGTAGAGTCACAATGCTAAATTGTCTGCTAGCCATATTTTTCAAATTCTTTTTTTCTCATATTTTCTTTTACATTAAAAACAATGAAACATACTCAATGAATTTTTTAATTTAGGTGGAAAAACAAAATAGAAAAATAAACTAGGAATTGTTTGAATGGTCAGAGGGAAAATTCAAACCCAAATATTTTTAATGTGTAATTAAACTGATGTTGATTCCAATGCAGTCAATGTTTTATATACAAACCTTTATTCAAAACTTTATTCATCACGTGGATATTCTGATTTGCCTACCTGTTGTTTCACTGCTTGATGTTGTAATCCCTGGAGTGGATGCTGCTGAATTTAAGAAAACAATGGAAAAAATAAGTTTTATATACAGAGGAAATTATGCTTACAAGAATAGCTATAGTCATATATAAAATGGATCAACTTGAAATGACTGTATCAGAAAAATTGATCATATAGGTGAATAGAAGCCCAAATATTAGTTTTAAAATTTACAGACAATGAGTAAAAGTTCACAAAATCTTGCCATTTGGTATAATTATTTTTCCCAAAAGCTTTCTCTAAAGAAAATTATCTTTAAAGAAAGAAACTTACTTTGTCTATTTCTTCTAAAAGTATCATTGTAAAAACATAATACTGCAAAGGAAGTCTGGGTGTTTTTTTTAAACCCCCATTGATTAAGCTGTGGCTTAGCTTACCTGTGCCTGGGCTACTGGTAACCAGTGTAATTGCTATGCAAAGAAAAAGACAAATATTTGGAAATATACATTAAACTGGTATTGACAGATGAGGTTAATCATATGTATTTAAGCATGTTTCAAGATCTCCAGAATACAAATAAAATGATTAAATGTAACAGTTAAGTTCACTTATTAGATGTTTACAAATTTCAATGCACATTTTTACTCTGCTAGCTACTGTTTTAGTGACAAAGCATCCAATTAAAGTTAAAATTTTTCTGGTGTTAATAAAAGAAATTGCAAATTACTTTCAAGGAATTTAACATAGAAGTTTTTAACATAGCCACTTTCTCCAAATAATTAGTATGTAGAATGATCTTCTTAGGACAGACACCTTTGAAAAGAGAAGATGTTCTTTAATATTATATTACAATTATATACAGACCTGCTACTTGACATGGGCCTTTGGCAAATAAATAAATGGAGAATGAAAAATTGGAAAAAAGGGCTATGATTCCTGAACCATAAATTATCTTTGCTGCTCATTTAGGATCCGTAAAAATAATTAACATTTTTACTGTATTTACCTGCTCCAGTGCTTAATATGGCGGTAGCTGTTGTAGTGGAAACTGTTTAGAAAATACAATATTTATGAAAATCAATTAATTGAATAATTTTTTTCTGGGAAATATAGTTCAAGAAAACAATTGCCATAAACTAAAATTAAAATTTCTGAAATGTGTGCAGAGGTTAAGTGACAAAATAATTTTTTATTTATATCAACACAAATAGCACCATGTATTTATGTATGTACACCAAAAATAACAATTTCCTGTTATTATCACTTAACCATAATCTCATAGGAACTTTGTAAGGTCAATTTATGGGCCAATAATAACTTAAAGGAAGGTGGTTCAGAACCCTGACATGAAAACTTCACTTCAGGTAAGTGACCAAAAATAACTAAAACTTAACTAGCATTTTACAGCATGTTGCATAATTTTAAATAAATTATCAAAGCCTAACTTTTCCTATTTTCTGTACTATCTCCCAATTTATACTACCCACCTCCAAATATCAATCAGCAGGAAATAAAATCCCTCTTTATATCACACAAGGTAGGAATATGTAGGTGTACTATAGCAACTCAAAGTTTAGTTATATTGCCAAGGAGTTACATGCCCTAAAACTATCATTCAGCATCCCCTTAAGTAAACATAAATGTAATTCCTTGGCTGGGTGCTGGTTCAAGCCTATAATCCCAACACTTTGGAAGCAGTGAGCTATGACAGTGCTACTGCACTCTAGCCTGGGCAGCAGGACAAGGCCATGTCTCTAAAAAATAAAAAATTAGCCAGGCATGGCAGCACATGCCTATAGTTAAAGCTACTTGGTAGGTTGAGTTGGGAGGATCACATGAGCCTAGGAGATAGAGGCTGCAGTGAGCTGTGATCACACCATTGCACTGCAGCCTGGGCAACAAAGTGAGACCTTGCCTCAAAACAAGAATAAAAGCAAGAAAGGAAGGCGGGAAGGAGGGAAGTGAGGGAGGGAAAGAGGGAAGGAGGGAAGGATGGAAGAAGAGAAGTGAGGGAGGGAAGGAGGGAGGAAAGAAGAAAGGAAGGAAGGAAGGAAGGAAGGAAGGAAGGAAGGAAGGAAGGAAGGAAGGAAGGAAGGAAGGAAGGAAGGAAGGAAGGAACTTTTTATTTCTGTTTTCAAATCATTCCCAGCATGAAGATGTTTTTAAAATATTTGCTTCACAGAAGGCAACATTTACTTCTATTTCATGCAGTTCTTCAATTATTATCTACAAATATCAAACTTTGAATGATATGTAACTAATATGCAGAGTTAAATATTAATCAATAACATAAATATTAACTAATTATACCTATTGTATGTTTAATCATATTCTTGACTTAATTCATAGGAATATAATGAAATGATACTCTGACATATTTCTAGTAATTGTTTATTATAATTCAAAATTTTTATATCAGCACACTTACCATCATATCTTTTACTGGAACAGATTCAAGTGAAACCATAAAAGATTAACCACACAAAGAAATCAGAAATACAACATTTAAAACATAATAATGATTTTACCTGCAAATGTTGAATTGGTAGGAGCAGTTTCTGAAATAATCATACATTACTGTTATTGACAGGAATTTTTATATCTAGAAAAAAATCTACCATTCGATTTGTCTGTAAGTCATGTCTCTTTTTATTTTACTTCTTGCAATTCCTAATATAAAAAGGAATAGCACATGTATTCTTTTGAAGTTTTTTGAGATTTACTTTTAAGATGTGTGTTGTGGCTGGGCGCAGTGCTCATGCCTGTAATCCCAGCAATTTGGGAGACCAAGGCAGGTGGATCACCTGAGATCAGAAGTTCGAGACCAGCCTGGCCAACATGGTGAAACCTCGTCTCTAATAAAAATGTAAAAATTAGGGTGGTGGTGGGGGCCTGTAATCCCAGCTACCCTGGAGGCTGAGGCAGGAGATTCGCTTGAACTGTGGAGGTGGAGGTTGCAGTGAGCCAAGATGACACCACCGCACTCCAGCCTGGGCAACAGAGCCAGACTCTGTCTCAAAAAAAAAAAAAAAAAAAAAAAAAAAAAGAGTATGTTGCTCATCAACAATCCTTCAATCTTTCAGTTATTTAATTCTTTGTATATTGAGTCTCATATTCTATTTCTCTCCTTCATTAAACTGTTTTTGCTGACTCCTCGCTCCCTCAATTCCCAGAACCTACAGCTGAGCAGGGGCACGTATGCTGTAGGTACACCCCCTGAGTATCAGCCATGGCCCCATCTGACAGTTGTTCAGCACATTTTGGTAGCACTGGGTTCCATCAGTGACTCACCATGGACAATTGCTCTGGGATAGAATTGTGCGAATCCTTGAAGGACAGCCTAACGCCCCTCTGGAGTATGTAAAAAAGACCTCCAACCCTCCTCTGATTTTTCCTAAATCACTTAGTGTAAAATGTAATGACTTACCACTGCACTCCAACTGCCCTGCAATACAGTAGCTGAAAGTTAAATTTAAAAAGAAAAAATAATGAGTTGAAAAATCTGACTCTTAATGGCATACAGCTCACAAATTTAAAACAACAAATTGTCTGACTGAAAACAAATAGAAGCAAATAATTGTTTCCCCAAGAGAATACCACTGATTCAAATTGCTTGTTTTTCCATGTGCTGCTATATCCAATCAGGAGCTCTGGGCGCCTGAAGAAATGGTGTGCAGGTGAGCCTTAAAGGCAGTTCTTGCATGCTCAATTTCAAACAGGATGTTATTTGATGGCTGTGGGGACCTACTATGATCCCATCAATTTGCTTCCATGTTTGAAAGCCTGTGAACATAATCTTACATTTATAAAATTAGAACTCTTTCTCCCTAAAACTACACAAAGACATTTTCTTTCCTATGTTCTGCATTATTAAAATTCCACAAACTATTTGTTGACACATGAATTATCTGAAAATAAGAATAACTAACATAACTGATATAAAAGTGAACCTAAAGCTGGTCTTCTCATTTAGAAATGGCAGGATCAAAAATTATAAGTATGTATATATAATATGTATTATTAACATAATATATTCATACACACATTTGGTTTTTCTCCTAAATGAAAAGGCAAAAGTCAAAATTGCTTATTGAAAAGTTAGTAGAAAATATACCATGTTCTTCCACAATTATCTTCGATCACTCCCCCTGCTGGTATGATATCATTATAGAAGCAGCTGCACTCAGATAAACTGACACATTTCATGGTGTTCTCATCCAAGTAGGGTGCACTGTCTGGACACTTAGCATAGCAACCTGTGTGTAAAAATGACCCACAGTTCATCTCTATTTACTGACACTCATTATACTGTATACTATAGATTTGTAAATTTACTTAAATGACTCCATGAGGTGAAGTAGATAATAGCAAAGCATCACACTCATAATGAAAATATATAAATATAGGAAGGTGCAGACTTTCTTGCAGTGAACTATCACACTAAGAACTCACAGATTTTGGTTGGTTTATTTTTTTCTAAAACGATTCTTAAAGTATTTTTAAATGATTTGCTACTTTAACAATGATTATGATGCTGCAACATAAAACAGGCTCTGGTAAATACATATCTTGAAATGTGAATGCTAGTCTCAAAAATCTGTTTTTGCAACAGTAGGTAAAGATACAGAAGTCATAGCAAAATAGGATAAAAATATGACAAAGAGTTTAACACAAATGTGACTTTTGGAAAAGTTTCATGTTAACCTGTTTTCTTGCCCTTTTTTTCTCTCTGAAATATATAATGCTAAGAATAAAATGCTGCTAAAGTGTGAGATACAGTTAATTATTACAGCAATTATACTACTCAAGAAAGATTGTATTGTATGTTGCATTCTGAAACTGCATTCACACTAAATGACATTGTCCAGTAAAAGGTATAAAGAGTGACGACACGATCAGAGTGCTGTTCCCCACCCCCGACTAAGCTTATGTCTAGAGAAAGTATTTCTAATGTAGAAATATTAATGTCATAATAAAGATAACTATTCATTAAATTACAAAATATTAGATACTCAATTGGGAGAAACAACCCTTTCCAGTTAAGATGAATATCATTTGCACTACTTTACGGATATTTTTAAAGTATGTGTTACCTTCTAAAAGTGAAGAAAATTTCTGTCCAATGAGCTGATCTTTGCATGTCTTTGCTGTCACTGTGCCACAAGGCTCATAATGCCAGCTGCACTCCCCAGGTGCATTGTAGTAATCACAATAGACAGCTAGAATTGAATTAGATCAAATTACTTTCATTCATCATATGACAATTTTCACCTTTCAGCTTCTAGAGCACTTTAAAAAGGGATTTGGGATGATAATAATAATAAATATATCTAAAGTATATCAGATCTTATTAAGTTCCTTTGGCTTTATCTAAACTGTCATATAAGCCAAAATAGGTCACAGCGGAAGAAGGTAAACTCAAAACAGCATTTTGTTTTGCCATCTCACACTCAGGTTAGTTTGAGATAAAAAGGTAAACATTAATTTTCTCATATGGAGATATTTTAGATCATAGTCTAGATTCATGTTTTTAATTTCAACTTTAAATTGGAAAACTAAATCTTAGACAATTAAGCTTTTTAACAGTTCTTAAATGGCATAAAGATGTCAATATCCTCTAATGCTGTGCATAATAAACCGAATAAAATGAGGTTTCTATTTTAACACTTCTCATCATATTTTCTCTCATAGTACTTAGAAGGAAAAGAGCTAATTTCTATTAAGATTATCATATTCCATATGTATCCAGATTTAATCTATACTCAATTGACAGTTCATCTTCAAGAGGGCTCAATGAAAGTTTTCAAGAAAACATGTGTGAGTACCTTAAACAAAAGTAATACAGGCAGCAAATGTTGGAGGATATATGAATATACCAAGGTAAGCAAATAGTTCATTGTTCATCTAAGTATGAATAAGAAATATTCTCCATCAGTATTCATTTTTTCCCCTATGAACACATGAATTTTTTAAACTAAAATTGAACTTGAAGCACTGGGCCAGATGCTTTATTTTTTAAGTTTGGTATTTTTGCACATCATAAACAAAAATATTAACATGTTTCTAGGTACACAAACATGTGTTTTATAGAAAATATGAGAGGAAGACTGATGGTCTAAGAAAACACTTCTATCTAATTACGTTTTAAAAAAACAACAACATATGGACCTCACTTACGACACAGATTTGGTTTTCTCCATGAGACACAGACTCCAACTGCACTACACGCCTCTGCATACATAGCCACAGCAGTGCAGAATCCCAGGTACTTCCCCTCCATGTCACATGCGCAGGCTTCTTCGATGCACGCATCATAGTAAGCACTGGGGTCAACCTAGAACAGAGCACAGCACGTGAGTCTCTGGGAGGAATCCCTGTGTAAGTCACTGCTTTCAGAGCAATGCTACCTTGTTGTGGCAGTCTCTGAAGGTGCTGTCTCTGAGGATCTCACATTTCCGCACAGCCCAGGCTTTACAGTATGGGTTTGAATCACATGGGAAAGTCTGAGCCACTGTATCTGAACATTCTTGGCTTGTTTTCCAACTATTCCCAAATTCCAGTGCTCCAGAAGCTACTGAAGTGTATCTTGTTGTGAAATCATCCTTGAGATCACCATTGTTATTTCCACAAAGACCACACACTTTACCCTGTATTGATCAGAAAGGGAAATTTAAAAATTAGTTGTACTAGCAACATTGAGATAAATAGACAAACAGATAGATGGTAAATGAACAAATAGGTATCATGATTATGTATATTGGAGCATGAATCTATGTTTAATTCCAAACTTCATGGATAGGATTCCAGAATCTAAAGATAAGATTTTTCTCTCAGTTAAGTTATCCCATGCCACAAAATGATCTAGTATCAAGCAGGATAAATGTCTAAAGAACCAAAACAGGTATGTCTGCTAGTTCCAAATTATACATGAGACCACTTTGGCTTCTTAAAATATTTGCTCCAAGGAACACATTTAATTTGAAATATAACAACCACCTGAAAATCGTATCATGTGATAATCTTAAGTAACCAAATATGGTTAAAACTAGAATGCCTCAAGTTTACTGCATTTACTTTTTAACCAGATTTTATTATCTTTGATTACGTTTCATATTTTACAATAAGGCTGAACAAAGGTGGAGGGCTTTAAACTCTAACAGAGACCCTGCCATTCTCCTGCACTCTGCCTGTGAATACCTGTCTCGATTTTTTAGTAACAGAAACGATTTTGCTTCCCCATTATTCACTTGTTAGTGATATACATACATTCCAGCTTGGATCCAGGATAAGAGACAGTCTTGTATTTTTGTCCCAAATCATGGTTATTCCATTTTGAAATTTCACAATTAAGTACAGGCCAACAGTATGTATGGAGTATGCATTTGCACTGAGTTCACATTCCTTACTCTCTGTAGTTTTGACTGCTGTTACTTTACCATCTTGCAAGACAATGTTCTGATCCTGTAAATTCACACAGATTTAGAATAACAATTTTATTTGGCTGCTCACAATGCAAGAGGAAAAGTAAAGAAAATAGTACTTTACCTGAAAAGAAACAATGATTTTTCTTGAGCACGTTAGCCCGTCTTCACAGCATGGAACACTCTCCGTTAAAATACGAAATGTGCCATTTTCATGACCACAATAATCCTTTAAAATATAAATTATAATAGTTTGTGAATATCAGAGTCACAGAACTCAACTACAGTGTTTGTGTCAGACAAACATTCTTAGAGAATATTTGCCTTAAACTCAATAAATCACCACATGCTACGTTACGGAATTTCTAAAAGACAATAGTTTGACCACATTTATAGATACCCTTGGCCGAGTCCACTCTAGTTAACATGTTTTGACTCAGTTATTTTCCCATTACTTCTGCACAAATTCAGAATTATACCACAGACATCTAAGTATTTAAAGTTTATACGTTTGTAATCACAAAGTTATTTCTAGGCTCTGTAAATAGCTAGATAAAGTTGGCCTTATTTCCTCAAAGACTTATGCAAAACTTGATATTCAAACAAAATTAATCCATAAATACAATACAATCCAAGTTGTAGCCCTAAAATATTATTTAGGAAGCTAGCAGCTTAATAAGATGAACTCTGAAATGTATGTAACAAGCATGAACTCTGGAATCAAACAGGTCTAGGTTTTCTATGACATTTTCCATTTGGTAGCATAAGTTGCTTAACCTCTCTAAACCTCAGTTTCTTCATCTGCATCATAGGAATAACAACATCAGTCTTGTAGTATCGTAATTCCTAAATGCAACGAAATCTATACATTTGCCTGACAAAGAAGCGCTTATAAATAGCAGCCGTAAGTTTTGCTGCCAGTGCTGTTCTTAGAACAATCATATCTAGCATTTATTTATTAAGCACTAGTATGTGCTCCAGTGTGTGCTCTAGTTTGGTTTCAAGTATGGGCTATTTTCATGCCCATTCTGTAAATTACAGAAACTGAGACACTAAGAGGTTAAGGAATGTGCCCAAAGTCATGCATCTGATAAAAGATGGGGCCAGTATTGAAAGCTAGTCCTAGCATCCAGATCCAGAAGTACATGATATAACATTTTACTGCCTTCTAGAAACATATAGGGACCCTTAAAAATATTTTCCATTTTGAAAATAAAATTGTTTGGAACTAATATACAAATAAATAAGAAGTATAGAACTGTTTTAATAAAACATACTCATAATTACCTCAAGAAATGAATACTGGCAGAGACCATCAAAACTGTAACTTTTCCCATCAAAAGTTCTAACATGACCTTCCCCATAAATGTGGCAGATGGTTTGACATTCATTTTGCGTACAACTCCAAGACCCTTTAATGCAAGTACTAAAAGGAAAAGATGAGAGAGTGTAGTGAATATACTATGCCGGGATTCACACACTAATATTGTTTTTGTAAAGAAGCACAAAAGTATGTATTGAATTAAATTTTGCAATTGCCTTCATTATAACGTAGGATGTTCATTTTATACAATGTTACATAAAGTTCTATTTTAAAAATAGCATCTTTCTGGGTGCGGTGGCTCCCACCTATAATCCCAGCACTTTGAGAGGCCAAGGCAGGTGGATCACAAGGTAAGGGGACTGAGACCATCCTGGCTAACACAGTGAAACCTGGCCTCTATTAAAAACATGAAACATTAGCCAAGCATGGCGGCACACGCCTGTGGTCCCAGCTACATGGGAAGCTGAGGCAGGAGAATCGCTTGAACCTGGGAGGTACAGGTTGCAGTGAGCTGAGATCCTGCCACTGCCCTCCAGCCTGGGTAACAGAGTGAGACTCCATCTCAAACATACATACATACATAAATGGCTTCTTTTTCTAACTATATTTGGTCATTTTTTTCAAATATCCCAAAGTGTGACTTCTTCTCTCCTATGAAAGTATGAACAGACTGCATATTTTCTAATATCCAAAACAAAATAAGAATCCTTTATTAGGCACCATTCATTGCAGCCAACAGAAGTGACACTTCCTTCATCATATTCTCGTCCACCAAAAGAACATGGGCAGTCATCAGGAAAGACACATATCCCTTTAGAATTCCGAACCATTCCTTCTGGACAAAAGCACCCACGTTTGCAAGGCAAGTTCTCCTACAGGAATAAATATAAAATATACACCATGAGGCACCATTCTAATCATGTCATATTATCAGCATTAATTTAAATGTTTAAATATGCCAAGTATATATTTGGAGTCAACCTTTGACAACTGAAAGTAAAAGGCAAAAAGAGCATGACCTTCTAATTATTTTTCATTAAAACAGTAGTTTTCGTAGGACCAGAAACAAAAGCTTTCAAAGGCTAAACTCTTATGTTACCTTGTTACACATTACGTTACTTACTTCAAAAACAGGTATGTTCCGAGTGCTGCATGTTCTGTCGGTTCTTCTCTGTGCTTTGGGATCCCCGCAGTCTACATACTCAGCCCCTCCAGAACAATTTTCTGCAGAATAATAAAAATTATCATTGATCAAGAGCCTATTGATCTGTTTTCTTTAGCCAAAGTAGGTATTTTAAGCTTGAACCATGATTTCAACACTTACGTAGGGCTAAATCAATGGGAATCTGGCAAAGAAGAATTCCATCCCGACAGACACTGGAAATAAAACAAAATTATAAATTTAGACATCAAGTTTCAAGGACAATTAATTAAATGAATGAGGCACCATCCCCAGATGATGCATAAAATGTACCAAAGGATAAGATATCACCTTGTAAATATTACAGGAATGTACAAACAAGGTTTTATGGATATCAGAGAAAACCTCATGGAAAGGATGGCTGGATCTTGATGACAAGTACAATTTAATACTTCTGATAAGATGCCAAATTGTGGCACAGGGGAGAACAAGATATGTTCCAGTGACTCCAATGAGTCATGTTTGGATGGAAGGCAGGATGCAAAATGGGCAGAAGCGGTATGTGTAGATTGGGGCCAGATTTTAGATGACTTACAAGTTTCTATCTGTTCTTCAGGTAACTGTCAGTCATTAAAGTTTCGGAGGAGGCAGGTGGCCCTATCAGAATAGTGTTTTAAGCTACACATTCTCTATTATTATTATTATTATACTTTAATTTCTGGGATACATGTGCAGAACGTGCAGGTTTGTTACATAGATATACATGTGGCTTTAGGCTACACATTCTTGCAGTAATTCAGGAAACACGGGACAGAGACAGCAATAATGACCAACCAAGTTAGCTATCACAGTGGTGCCAGCTGACAAGAGTCTCAGATATGGTAGTGGTGAAGGGAAACATAATTTGGAGGTATTACCCTGATTCACTGAAAAGTTAATTTATTGATTCCCATGAAAACAAAAGCAGACTGCATATTTTCTAATATCTAAAACAAATAAAATAGTAATTATTTATTAAGCACCATTAAAAAGTTAATTTAATGATTCCCTATAAACTACAGAAGAAAAGAAATTATCTTTATCAAGCCTCAACCAAAGGTTCATTGGCTTTGACATAAAGGGGTTACCTAAGCTTTCTTTTTGAATGACCAAAAAAATTATTTGCTCCTAAATGATAGCCTCATGAAACCAAAGAAAAGAGAGGAGGTGTATTCTAAGTATTTTTGAGTGGCTACTTCATTTTGGCTATTACATTATCAACAGTTCCTACATCTCTCTATGGAATTAGAAATATGCTTAAATTACTTTGCTCCAGGCAGAGCACAGTGGCTCATGCCTGAATTCCAGAACTTTGGGAAGCCAAGGCAGGTGGATTGCTGAAGTCCAAGAGTTCAAGACCAGCTTGGGCAACATGGTGAAATCCCTTATCTACTAAAAATACAAAAAATTAGTTGGGTGTGGTGGTGTGCACTTGTAGTCCCAGCTACTCAGGAAGCTGAGGTGGAAGAAGCGCTTGAGCCCACAAATGCTGGGAATGCAGTGAGCCAAAACCGTGCCACTGAACTCCAGCCTGGGCAATCAAAGTGAGACTCTGTCTCAAAAAAAGGAAGGAAGGAAGGAAGGAAGGAAGGAAGGAAGGAAGGAAGGAAGGAAGGAGGGAGGGAGGGAGG